CAGGAACTTAATTCTAAGGGCAGGCAGCATCGTGTTAATTGTTTTTACAGACTCTCTGAAACACCCGGGGTGGACTGTAAAGCAAAGAGGGTAGTTTGGTTGGTTCAATCTGAGTGGCAGCTGTCTGGATGGTAGGGAGTCCAGGCAGCAGTAGCAGCATCATGATGGGGCAGGCAGGTAGATGGTGTATGTGTGAGTGCATGTGTGTGGTCTGTTGCTCGAGCCAGGGCTCAATCATGGCCTTATCTGTGTTCCTTCCTCCCTGCCTTCCAGCCTTCGACAGTGCCTTGCTGTGTAGCCCAGGCTGGCCTGGCACTGATAATCCTTTGGCCTCCCAAGCAGCAGGGATTACAGGAAGACTTTGATGTACCCAGCTTACTTTATCTACTCCTGATCACTTGCAAAGGGCCCCACTCCTAAACACTGTAGTTAGACATTCCCACCCTCTCAACACCTCACTGTAGGGACAAGACTCCAGTATGTGGAGTTCCAGGGACACTCAACCCAGAGTTTCTGGGGAAGCTCAAGCTGCTTGTTGCCCAGGATAGTGGCTGGGGGTCCGGTTTGTGACTAGACTGCCAGGCAGGGGTGTAAGTGAGGTGGGCAATTAGCTGCATCCCCTCATTTAATTTCCCAGCAGGCATGTGAATTGCAAGGCTGGTTCATTTCGGTGCTCAGGATTGGACTTGGGCAAGGACCTGGGTCATCTCAGTCATGCTCACAGCAGTTCTGCGGCTAGATATCTTTGTGGACACTTTGTTTCTAAGAGCTGACCCACCCGCCCTGGAGTCTCATCTACCTCATCGCCCTGCCTCAGTGGCCGGGCATGAGCTGGGACTCTGTGGACTCTGCTCTAGGTCAGGTAGCTTCCCTGGTCCATGCACACCCCAGGGAATGTCCCAGTACAGCTTACCTAGCTGACCCCACTTCCTGCCTTCATTTGGACTTGAGGAGCTTAAGTAACTGAGGCAGGAGAATCTCTGTGAGTTTAAGTCTAGCCTGGGCTACATAGTGAGCCCTAGGACAACCTGGGCTATATGGTGAGACACTATCCCAAAACAAACAAACAAACAAACAAACAAACAAAATCCCATGCAAAATAAAACAAGCATGAAATAAGAGAAGAAAAAACATTTAAGGTGATTGAAACTACTAGAAAAAAATTACAAAAAGATGAGACAAAAGGTCACTTGTCTGCTCTACTGGACCTGCTGGGATGTCCTTAGCTCTTTGGAGGTATGCCCAGTGCGAACAGTAAGATCTCAGCCCCTTCTGTTTTTCCCCTCTGCTTTCCTGACATATGGTTTTGCTCCATCACATGTTCCTGCCACGATGGCTCTCACATAGCCCCAGGACAACCGGCCAAACAATCATGGACTGGAATCTGCAAAACTCTGAGCCAAAATACTCACTTTCTCTTTGTAAAATTGGCCAGCTCAGGTATTTGCTATTGTAGTGACATATCACGACATAAAGCTAATTGACACATCATTTGGACCTCTCTGTACGTGGGTCACAATGGGACCCTAGATGTGGCAAGAGGTCCTCCCCAGAGCCTGGTTCTCAGAGGTCCTCCCCAGAGCCTGGTTCTCAGAGGTCCTCTTCAGAGCCTGGTTCTCAGAGGTCCTCTCCAGAGCCTGGTTCTCAGAGGTCCTCCCAAGAGCCTGGTCCTCAGAGGTCCTCCCCTGAACCTTGGTTCTCAGAGGTCCTCCTTAGAGGCTGGTTCTCAGAGGTCCTCCTCAGAGACTGGTTCTCAGAGGTCCTCCCCAGAGCCTGGTTCCCAGAGGTCCTCCCCAGAGCCTGGTTCTCAGAGGTCCTTCCCAGAGCCTGGTTCTCAGAGGTCCTCCCCTGAGCCTGGTTCTCAGGTCCTCCCCAGAGCCTGGTTCTCAGAGGTCCTCCCCTGAGCCTGGTTCTCAGATCCTCCCCAGAGCCTGGTTCCCAGAGGTCCTCCCCTGAGCCTGGTTCTCAGGTCCTCCCCAGAGCCTGGTTCCCAGAGGTCCTCCCCAGAGCCTGGTTCTCAGAGGTCCTCCCCAGAGCCTGGTTCTAGAGATTTTCCTCAGAGGCTACCCAGAAGGGACAGAAATGCCAGGTGATTTTAAGGTTGAATATCCAAGTGTCTTAACCCAAATAGTTCCTTCAGCATCAATCCCTCTGGGTGTTGACACAGGTATATGCAGAGGAACTATTTTATACTTTAAAAAAAAAACCCCGAATGTTTTACTATTGACTGTTAAATGGAGCCATTTAGCAGTTCTTGTGGCTGCTGAGGTTTCTGGTGGATGACAAAGTGCCTGTCTGGACTTGTTCTGTGCTCCCTTCTTTGAATTTTAGGGTTGATGATAGTTTTCCTTGTTCTTGGACCAAAGCCTGTGGAGCATGGGCTGTTTCCACCATGACACATCTTCTTGGAACGTTCACAGACAGGAATCAAGAGGTGTCTTGTTGGTAAAATCTCATCGTTTTCCAGCATCTATGGCTTCATGTGGAGGTGGACAGGTTTCACTCCACACGACAAAGGCAGTGCATTATGGGGAGACATGCATTGTCTGTGCTTTTACACATGCCTGTGGCCCACACATGCACTTTATGGGCTGACATACGCATATGGAGCACACACAGCTGCACCCAGGGTACAAGTACATAGATACATACATGAAGGTACACATGCATACATATCCACAGGTACCCATACACATCTGCACGCATCGGTGTCCACAAACACGCACACTCACACCTGCATCTGTGAGCACGTGTACACATACCACACCCAGAGGTACACACACAGGATTATTTACACTTCTGCACCCATACACGTACATGGACTTCTGACCGGGAGGTTCTGTCTCCCAGGGCTTCAAGAATTTTTCATGTAGAAAACGCAGTGTTTTTAAGGTTCTCGGTTCCAGAGAGGATGATAGACCTGAGAGATCAGTGCCCAGTGCAAGGAGGCTGGGGATGGAGGTTTACACGAGGCCTTGCTCTGTTGTTGGATTGTGTCTGGCACACATACAGGAGATTCAAAGGCTCACGTGAACACAGAGACTAAGTGCAATTTCCTTTAAAAAAAAAAAAAACGCCGTTAACCTAAGGGATTCTTGGTGAAGTCCTTGGGCATCCCGCTTCTATGAAAGGTAAAGTCATGTTCCCTGTTGTCTTTAAGTTACTGCTTCTCTGTACCCAAAATGCTCAAAACAACTTCAGCATCTCTGTTTTCCCTTCAAGGATTTTGCTTTTTATTGCAAAGAGGTAGTTTCTTACCTAAACTTCACCCCACTTCTGACAAATTATACTAAACAATGCTACCTATGGATGGAGCTGTCGGTCTATAGCCCTGGCCTGAGAAGGAAGGTGTGTGGGCTCCTTCTCTGACCCCAGCGGGGGGAGACACAAGTATTGCTGTCCCACCCAGAGCCCAGGGTGGAAGGCTCACCTGTGTCTCCTGCTTTAATTTGTATTTCCCTGTGATCAATGTCTGGTTACTATGGCAATGCACCTGCTAGAAACAGCTGCCATTTGACATCTGGCCGATCAGGATGCAGAGAGCTCAGACGGCAACTGGAAGCGGAGGCCTGCCTTCAGGGACCCACTTGTGCTAGCGAGGCAATATCCCCGAAGGGCCCCACAACCTCAAGTGTTTGAACATAGGACCCTTGGGGGAGACGTTGCACGTTCAAATCACAGCAGCTAATGATAGTTGGCATTTTTCATGCTCCTTGGCCATTTGGCTTAAGTGTGGTATAAATGTTCTTATTGTGGACACAGACCCTTTGTCAGATAACTGAGTTACAGATATTTTCTTCTCTAGTCTCTACTGTCTGTGCTCTTAATGACATATTTTAAAGCATAAAGACTTTAGTGTGTGTGTGTGTGTGTGTGTGTGTGTATGACACACTTGTCGTGTGTGCAGATACCCAGAGACACTAGAAAGGGGTGTTAGATACTCTGGAGCTGGAATTATAGGCTGTTGTGAGCTGCCCAATGTGGATATGAAGGCTGAACTCAGATCCTCTGGAAGAATAGCAAATGCTTTTAAACACTGAGCCATCCTTCCAGTCCCCAGCATAAACATCTTAATGTTTTATGTTGTTAGTCTAACTTAACTGTTTTTTTTTAAAGCAGTCATGCTTGTGATATCACATCTAACCTAACTCCAGGTCACAGCTCTGTTCCCATGCACTCCTGAGAAGTTTGTGGGTTTAGCCGTTAGGTCCGTGTGTGATCTGCGTTCATTTTGTCTGTGGTGGTGGTGAGCAGGTCTTCGCACGTGGATGCCAATGGCCCTTCCCTCATGTGCTGTCCTGCTGCTTTCCCTGACGGTGACACCCTGCCTTGGTTCCCCCTTCCACAGTCACCCTTCCTGGCTTGGACCTCAGCCATGGCCGTGCATGGCATTGGAATCGCATCTAATTTTAAGTCCGGCCCCCATGTCTGCACTGAAGTCATCGGGTTTCCTTCGCAGTTCGCCAGGTCCGGTGGTGTCTTCGTGGTGTCATGAGCCAGTTTTTCCTAGCCCAGAACAATGGGAAGTTTGTTTAGTGACAAAGCCCTCTGGCCTTCTGCCCCTTTAATTAGAACTTGGGTTTATTTTAACTTTCCGTTTGTAGGGCTGCCGCAGCTGTGGGGTGACTCACGAGGGGGCCAGTGAGCCATGAGGAGAGTGGGAGTCAGCCGTGGGGCTGGGTCCTCTCCTCACAAGAAGCAAGGGCAGACAGGTCTCTGCGGGAAAGGAGCGGATCTGAAACTTCAGCGTGTTTTCCTTTTGATGCATCCAAGAAGGCTGCCCCTCCTCTCAGTTCCCGTCAGAGCTCTTTAACAGCCTGGAGGTTACCGTTACGTGTAGATAAATATACTGGAGATGGCCTTATTAATGACACCCCCCACCCCCCACACCCCATTTTGCTGTCTGACTTTTTCAAGCCCATCACCTGGACATGTCAGTCTTTGCGAGGACTCATCATCCACTTACATTCTAACCACGTGCATTTTGTTTGTTTGTCTAGCCCCTTTTATGGAGAAGACTTTTACTGTGAAATCCCTCGGAGTTTCCGTCACCTGTCCTTTTACATTTTTGATAGAGACGTTTTCCGAAGGGATTCCATCATAGGTAGGTACTGAAATGGTAGGTACTTCAATGGGTGTTGTCTTCCTCTTACAAACAGGATCTCATCCTGGTAGAAATGGCAGATCTCTCCTAAGCACCTGCTGCCCTTATGACTGGGAGGAGATCAGCATTTAATCCGAAGCCTTCCTGAATAGGACCGTACGGCACTGAGTCACTCCTGATGGGAGTGACTTGGAGGCTTGCCTGTGTGGCCTGGCCTCTTGCATTGTCCTGTCTTTCGACCTGACAATGTACAGAAGAGCTTGCCGCTGGAAACTCATCTCTGGAACACACTGATCAGGGCCTTCTTAAGGCTAGCATGGAGCATGTCCCCAAATGTCCCTAGACAGATTTCAAGAGCTCCTTCCCAGATACCCTAGGAAAGTATGGCTGTGAACCTTCCTTCTTCACTGTCTCTAGGCTTCTCTCATCCCTAACCCCAGCATAGTGGTAGGGATAAGAAAAGGCCAGGGAGAGGGTTCGGGGCCAGTCAGGCATGTGTGAAGTTAACCCCATGTCTCTGAGCCCCAGTTTCCCTGTGGCTTCAGGAAGGCAGCAATCCCGATACTCTCCCAGACGATAGTCATGTGATGAGTCCAGATGATGGGGCAGGCCAAAGGGTGGTTACTATTTTGGTACTCCCTCGAATCCAAGAGAACGGTGATAGGGTAGTACCGGAGTTTACCCACTCACGCCTACCTGAACGACACTGTCCCAGGTAGGAAGTGGCTCTCTCTGTTGTCTGAGGCCCCATGTTGCTGAGATGAAGAAGTCACAGGAATGCAGAGGTGAATACTGCTGAAACCAAGAGGACACTAATCTAAGCCTGACCAGATGGAAGCCCTGAGCCTCTCAGCCAGAGACTCTGTGGGTACATGTCAATGAGACGGGGGCGTGGCCTGGAAGAGGAACAGAACTTACTTCATCCCCCACATCTGACCTCACACTTCCTTCTCTCCCAGCTTCACACTCACTCCTCGTACCCAGTCATACTTCACCCCTTCACCAATCTCTCTTCAACTGTCACGACCATTCCACCTTAACTTTTGCACTAGACCCCCTTAACCCGACACCTAAGCCTCCCATTCCACCTGTTCTCACCCCAATGCCCCACCTGACCTCCCGGCATGCCCACCTTGCTGCTCATCCCAACCCCATTCTACCTGATCCTTAAGCCCATCTTACCCCGGGCCTCATACTCACCCTTACACTCTCTGTTCTTCATACCCTGTCTTAGCGACTGTTCTGTTGCTGTGAGGAAATGCCATGACCAAGGCAACTCTTGTAAAAGAAAGCATTTAATTGGGGACTTGCTCACAGTTCCCGAGGGCTAGTCCGTTATCATCATGGTAGGGAGCATGGTGGCGGGCGGGCGCTGGAGCAGTACAGCTGGGAGCTTAGATCAGATCCAGAAGTTGCAGATGTGGTGGGGGTGGGGCAGGGGTGGGGGGGAGGGTGGGGCAGGGGTGGAGGCAATGGACGATGATTGAGACTGAGCGGGCATGGGCTTTTGGATCCTCAGAGCCCTCCTCCCAATGGCACACCTCCTCCAGCAAGGCCCCACCTCCTAATCCTTCTCAAACAGTTCTGCTAACTGGGGACCAGGTTTTCCTTTTTGGTTTTTTTTTCCAGACAGGGTTTCTCTCAAGGAGTCTTTCCTTCCAGGCTTTTTCTTATGCACAGGGATTATTTTGCGCAGTTGTGATTCCTGCATACACCCTTCGCTTCCCATCACGCGTCTATTAATTTTGTTTGAGTGGAATATCTCAGTGTCCTCTTGGTGTGTGTGGCCTCCTGTATCTGCCTTCAGGGCCAGGGGAATCATGTTGATCTGCAAATTCTCATGACAATTAGACGGTCACTGTGACTGTTGGATGGCACCAATTGAGGGCCACCCCAGAACTCAGTACCCTACTTTCCAGCCTGTCCCTGTCAGTGACTGGCTGCTTGTGCGTGTTGGCGTGACATAGTTTGGACAACTGATTTTTTTTTTTTTATTTATCCCTAGCTAGCAATATTCATGGATGTGGCATGGGATAAAGAAAATGAGTGAAGTTGGTTGCGTGTAGTAGGATCTGCAATAGCTCCTGTCTGTGCTCACCTTACGTCTCAAGCCTCGAGAGAAGTCCGTGTGAGCGAGCCTGACACCAAAAGACCTGAGCCCCGATAAGTCTCTCTCTGAAGGGGCTGTGATTCTCGAAGCTTTGTGTGTCTGCCTGGTGGGCTTCTGGGTGCAAGCCACTAGTTGGCCGCTATCAGGAGTGCCCAGGACTGCCTAAGCTGCTGTGGGGATGGGGAGCTGAGGCGACAGTGGAGCCAAATTTTCACTTTCAAAATCAGCTGGAGAATCTGGGTGTTTTCATCAATAGCCTTGCATTATTAGAAACAGAAAATAGATGTGACCTGTTGGGGACACATTATAGGGTCCCAGTTTTCAGACTGTTTTGACCTTGCTCTTGCAAGCTCTGTGGGTGTCCAGGCTCCACGCCCCCCTTCCTGGGTACCCCTCATGAGGACTGTGCTCTCCATCCCTCCTCCCTCCTCCTACACAAACTTTGTGTGTCCATGTAGTGAGTGTTTCCTGGTCTCTGCTGTGGGCTTCCTGTGTACTTTCCTCTCCTGCACAGGCCAGTTCAACCATGACCCCTAGGAACCCTGAGCTCCCAGAGTGCTGTCTGTGCAGCACATTTGTGTACCTGTGGGTTTTGGTGGTGCTTCTTCTTCTTCTTCTCCTCCTCCTCCTCCTCCTCCTCCTCCTCCTCCTCCTCCTCCTCCTCCTCCTCCTCCTCCTCTTCCCTAACCAAGGTCTCATTTAGCACAACCTCAGACTCGCTATGTAGCCGATGAACTTGAACTTCCAGTCCTTCTCCCTCCACCCCCCTGAGCACCGAGATGACTATGCATTGCTGTGCATCTTCATGGTTTATGTGATGCTGGAGATGGAATCTGGGGCCTCGTGTGTGTTAGGCAATCGTTCTACAACTGTTTCATATATCAGAGCCACCTGTGGCTTCCATTAGCCAGGGGCAGGAGACCCCCAACTCTGCCACAGCCAGCAGTCTCTGTCCTGGAGAGAGGCAAGACCATGAATGGTCCTCAGCTCCAAACAAGCCATGTGCATCCCAAACATGCCAAGGAAAAATTGGGTCATGCCTTCGAAGAACGAGTGAAATTTGTTAATCCAGGTGTTTCCCAAGGGAGAAAGCAGGGCAGGTGGTTTTCCCGTAGGTGGGCAGGCGTTGTGTGTGCAAACTCCCCGTCAGGCCCCTCACCGTGGAGCCATCTGCCATTCCAAGTGCGTCAGTCCTTAGCTCTGGAGTTTGCCATTCTCGGGACCGTGCCCTTCACTGTAGTCTCCTGAGAGTATTGGGCCCCGGCCTGCTGGAAGTTTGCTTCTGGTTGGAATCTGTGTCTGCCCGGGCTCCCCTGGACCGTGGCGCTCAGGCACAGCCTGGGAAGGTCCACCATGATAGCTCCTCTTTTGCTTACAGCACCATTGACCGGGTCTCATCTGTGTTTGTTTCCTGGGAAGACTACCTTGGTTGTGTGGTGACTGCTATCCTCCCATTTAGACCGATTCCTTCCTTACTTGTGGCTCCCGCCTGGCACAGGGCTCTAGGCCCTCAGTCTAGACAATAGGGGGAGCTTGCCCTTCTGAGTGTAGAATGCTAACGTCCTAGAAGCCAGTTCTCGCCAGGAGCCCTTGGCTGGCCACTGCCAGGCTCCAGTCCCTTCACTAGAGGGGTGTTCTCTTGAATGTTTAAGGATCTCTCAGAGATGCTGAAGGTCTTCCCAGGATCTGATGTTCTCTCAGGTTTGGGGGTGCTTTCTCAGGCACTGAGGGCCTTTTAGGATCTGGTGTTTGTTTTTGGTTTCTCTCTGAGGTCTTTTCTCTTCAGGATCTAGTGTTGCTGTCTTAGGCTCTTGGGTCTCTGAGGTATTAGAGGTGTTGTCAGGTCCTCAGACACTTGGTGACCCTTCCCTTGGCTCTCGCCACCCCCAGCGACTGACCTGATGGCCTCTTGGTTTCAGGCCATGAGGAATGGCGGCCTCCAGGTTACAGGTTTCTCTTATCGAGAGGGGCCTGAGGGACCTGGTTGTGTGTGCTCTAGAAGCACAAAGTGGGGTCAGTTTCAGTAGAAGCTCCTAGAGAAGAGAGTAACAGACCAAGCGTGAAGAAACAATCCCCAACTACCTCACAGGGGCATGGGCCAGGCATCCCAGAAAATATGAAATATTATCACTGGAAGTCTAGCTGTGTTACCATACTTCCATAAATGCTTGCCTCATATAAGCACGTAAGTGTATGCCTCACAAAATAGTCCCATTGGAGAAATCCACAGAGAGAAAATACACCAAAACACCCACGAGTCGCTTCATCTTGGAGAGGGAGAGGGGCTTGAGGTTGGATCTGCTATTTATGAAGCTTGGGCCACAAGCCGGCGTGTATCATGAACTGAACTCACCCTTTTTCCTAAGCTGCCACGCTACCTACAGAGCCCGGCTCAGCAGCGTGAGTGCCAGGTGTGCTGGTTCATCTGGGGTTTATTAAAAAAAAAAAAAAAAAAAATGCTTGAAGTGAGAACTTCTAAGTAGCGAGGCTGGAGGGCGTGGTGGTTCTGTGTCTGGAAGGTTCAGGAAGCATCCATACTACCTTCTCCCTGACAAGTCCTTGACTGCGTCACAGCACAGACGAGCAGACGAGAAGGAGGTGACGTCGTGTGGCTGGGCCAAGCATGAGGCCTGCGTCGCCTTCCCACTGCCTGCTTTGGGGATGTCTAACCTTTTCACAGCTAGGAGAACAAGACGCTGTTGACAGGCACCCCCTTGTGGGAGGGGGACTCCAGGAGAGAGGTGCCTTCGCCCTGTCATCCTCCTGAATGTCTTGAATCTTGTTCTGTGCATCAGACCACATATGTAAAAACTGAATGAAGTACTTCTAAAAATAAATGCTGGTCGTGGTGTCTGAAGGGTAGGACTCAGGATGAGTATCATGCACGTACCAATGCTCCTTCGGCCAGTGTCAGCCAGTGAACGCATGGAGTCGTGAGGACGTAGCTGTTACAAACTTGAGAGGTTAGCCCTCTGTCCGGAGAGCTGAGCACAGAGCCCGAGGATTTCATTGCCCTTTTTCACGGACTTGAGCTCAACCTCGTGAAATTTTTTGTTTCATGTGTTCTTACTCACAAGAGACCAAAAGGAAAAAAAGAAAAAAAAAATCAGCTCCGACTGTGGGCAAAGGTCTGTTTTGCAAAAGCTGCGTTGGGTGGTCAGAGGCCTCAGGACCCTCCTGTGGAAAAAAGTCAAAGAAACGCCCAGCAGGTGGTGGGAAGGGAGGAAGGACCTACGGACAGGTTGTGCCCTTGTGGCAACGACTATTCTTCAGACACACGTGCAGGACCACATCTCACACACACACACACACACACACACACACGCCACAGAACATGTAAATTAAAGATGCACATTTGTGTCCCGTTGTTCCGTGGCTTCTCTTAGTAGACACACACTCCTGCTAATGTGTCACAAACCTGTAAAGGGTGTCTTACTCCTGACTGCACGTGATGGATGGGAAGGACGGCAGCAGGAAGGTGCCAGGACAGTCGGATCTGCTGTGTGGGAGCCTGGCGGCCACTAGGAAACAACAGGCTGACCCCTTTCTCTCATAAGCCCGCCCGCTGCAGTGGCTTAGATAAAAGGCAAGCTGGGAGAGTCTTTATTTGTGAGATCTGGCTATTTAGCTTGCGGGAGGGGCTGCGGGAGACCTGCAGCCTTGACCAAAGCCGGCGTGAAGTGTGTCGTTCTGAAGTGTGGACTAGGCGGGACCCAGCCTCCCTGAACCCTTCTGTGTTTCCACGGCTTCCCCTCCACGGCCTTTACTGTCTTTTTGTGCTCCAGGCAAGGTGGCCATCCAGAAGGAAGACTTGCAGAGTTACCACAACAGGGACACGTGGTTCCAGCTGCAGCATGTGGACGCTGACTCGGAGGTGCAGGTGAGGCTTTGCCCACGTGGCCTGGGGTGAGATAAAGCTGCAGGCTTCGGGCCTGAGGCGGGAGGTGTTTTCACCTCTGATCAAGCTCTGCAGGCTGGCGAGCTGTGTTTGTTGCTGGGGTTATTGGCACGTTTTGTCAGGCAGATGGAAGCAGCTTTAAAAATACAGAAGGTGGGAAGGGAGGCGGCGCCGAGGAGACAAAGCGCATGTAGTAAACTTGGGCAGGGCTCTCTGTGCTGCTATTCTGGGCGAGAGCAGCTGAGCCACAGGAACTAGCCGCCGCCGTCCAGGTTCCCACCACCCCAGTAGCCTCCCCATGGCCTGCTTGCATAGTTTGCCCTCTGGGGCTGAGCACCCAGCTTCCGAGGACAGAGAGATCATGGGCACTTAGTTAGGAGGCCTGGCATGCCTGACCCTTGATGAGCAGCAGAAAACCCGGTAGCTTGGCCCTTCCCTCCTTAGCACAGCCACTCTTGGACTGGCCTGTGAGGGGGATGCAGCAGGGTCACTTACCCAGGGTCAAACCCGTACATGACTGTGGGGCTGTCCCAAGCCCTGGCCCTAGATGAGGAGCAGCTACGATGATCCTCCAGTTTGCAGGTGCCCTGCTGTGGCCGTGGCATGACTGGGAGCTGGGTTAGTCTTGGGTCGGTCAGAACTTAGCTCCCATGGTCAGGAGGAACATGACCCGATGGCCAGTCTCTGCAAGCCTCAGTTCCTCATCTGTAAAGTGGGGTTTTCGTAGGCTAAGGTGACTTCCATGTCGTCTTGCAATACTGGGTCTTGCACTGTGGGGATATGGCGATAACTGCTGTTTGTATACTGTCGGGGGAACATCCATGAAGCAGACATATTGTAAAGACCTGGTCTGCCATTCAGCAGAAAGAATTTACCGACAGTTAACCGGGGGAGCTCTGAGTCCTGTGTCCCTTGTGTCCTAGGACTACAGGCCAGGCTAGCCTGCGTGCCCCACATCCTCAAGGGTTCTCCTCCCCAGCCTGGCTTCTCTATGTACAGGGCAAGGGTTCCTTGCCAAGGTCAAAGGTCAAGCACAGAGTTGGCCGTGAGACCAGCACGAGAGAGACATCAGGGCACTGAATAGAAGAATCCCATGGCCAAGCTTCAGATGGGCCTGTGGAAGTCCCACCCATGGAGGGACACATCTGATTTCCCTATTCTTTGACCCGGCCTCCCGGGAGCCCACTCGTACTGTGAGAGCTAAACAGTGCAGTAGTCACTGGTCGAAGCAAGAGCGGCGCCCCAGTGGGAAAGCTGAGGCTCTCTCAAGGCGGCAGCCCCCCCATCCCCTCCCTGGCTGGGAAAGCTTCTCCAGAGGGCACTCTGCATTGCTGGAAGTTTCGGGCCTGTTCCCAAGGCCAAGGCCAGCTCAGCACGTTCAAAGAGCTGCAGAAGTCCCTTTCTGGGCATGGTTTCCCTCGAGTTGGACCTCACTGACAAGTGTGACATTTCCTAGTTCTTGTTTTTTTATTAGGTATTTAATTTTTAAATGGCTGCATGCAGATTCACAGGAAGCTGCAAACAGGAGTCCACAGGGAACATGGCCGGAAAGTTTGTGTGTTATCTTTTTACAAAGGAGTCCACAGGGGAATATGGCCAGACAGTACATGTGTTATCTTTTCTCTACCTAAAGATGGGATACCATTTGTGAGGACCCCATGGCTGCTTCTCCTGGTGTGGCTGGTACAGGTCACATGACTGTGCACTTATCTTGTGTGATCTCACCAGTATATACATTTAAACACACACACACACACACACACACACACACACACACACACACACACACACACACACACACACACACACTAGCACGCACGCACGCACCCATGCAAGCACACTGTTCGGTTTTTTTTTTTTTTTTTTGAGACAGGGTTTCTCTGTGTAGCTTTGCGCCTTTCTTGGATCTCGTGCTGTAGACCAGGCTGGCCTCGAACTCACAGAGATCCGCCTGCCTCTGCCTCCCGAGTGCTGGGATTAAAGGCGTGCGCCACCACCGCCCAGCTCTGTTCGGTTTTTTAGTGTGGTGAAATACAGGTCTCATAAGACTTGCCACTTCATCCATTTCTAAGTACAGTTCAGTATCATCGGGGGCATTCGCGTTTATGCCATGTCTCTCTCCATCTCCAGAACTCTGTTCAGACCATGACACACAGGTTCCCGGGCCCAGAATCCACTCCTCTGCTGGGCCAGGAGTAGGGAGGGGGTGGGGCATCGAGTTTGCTTAGACCTCCTGTGAGTAAAACCTTGAAGACTGTCTCTTTCTGTGACTGTCTCATTTCACTGAGTGTTAACTCCCGGCTCCATGAGTGTTGTGTGTCAGGATTCCCTGCCTTCCGAAGGCTGGGTGGCTGGACCACATTTTACATATCTGTTAACCTAGGGACAGCACAGGAGCTGAGGCGATTACTGGGTTATTAGGTTTCTTTGCAGCTTTATCCTGTGTACACGTTTGTATAACAGCTACTACAGTCAAGCTTCAGAACCACAAAGCTATAAACGTAGATGCATGCGCCAATCTCATGTCTGGAGGGGAATTTCCTACTCGGTGCCAGAAAGTGACTATAGTGCCGTCGGGCGGGATTTCTCCCTCTGTAGCCTGGCTCTTACGTCAGTGAAGACAGAGCTTGACGCCGGCCCTCTAGACTCTTGGGGCCTTGGAACATTTCCACAAATGAAAGGGCTAGAAGATGGATCTACAATTAAATGCATGGACTGTTCTTCCAGAGGACCCCGCTCACAGCCATCTGTAACTCCAGTTGCAGGAGATCCAACCCCCTCTTCTGGGTTCTGCAGGCACTGCATGTACATGGTGCACGCACATACATGCAGGCGAAACACCCCCACAAAAAAATAAAATATAAATAAAGAATTCTCAAAGGACAAAATGAAAAAAAAAATAGACTAAGCTGCTACAGCTGGACTGAGGAATAAGCAGACCTCTCTAGTGTGTGGAGTGCTTGACTTTCGTTCTCAGAGAGGCTGAGACAGGGAGACGGCTCCTCCCCTCAGCCTGACCTTTAAGTCGTAATTGCCATCTTTTACGCCACAGCTGCGGCTTGTTTTGAAATGTCACATTTACAGTTTCTAGAAGGGCAGAGAGTGGCATTTGGGTTCTTGGATCCACCTGTTTTGTAATTCACAGGAAAGAATCATGCATTATGACAGCGGGAACTGGGCCCGCATGAGAGACCATGTGTCACAGAAGTGGAGAAAAAGGCGGCTGAGTATCTTGCCTTCTTCCTCAACTGATGCTTTTCAAAAGTCTTTATAAGTCACTCTGTTACATAGAATCCGTCACCCCTGCCGCTCTCTTCCCAGGGACACGTCAGAGGACAGGGGCTCCAGCTGGCTGGGCACCCTGCAATGTCCAAGGTCCTCCAGTTCTGAATGGTGAGGGGAGGGATGGTACTGGTCCTTCTCTCCTGGCTCCTCCCCTACTGTGCCCGCCCCCAGATCTGTGTTTCTGAAGGGCTTATGGACACGTGATGTAGTCAGGACCCATGGTGTGTTCACATAGATCTGTAACTCATGACTGGCCCAAGGCCAATACCATCTTGGGGATGGTGGTTGACTCTGAAGGCCAGAGAAGGGGGTGGGCATTCCACCTCTCCCAAAGTGTTTGGGGATTTGTCTCTGGGGTGTCAGATAATCTAAAAGGTTGCCAATGGTTGTCCATGGTCAAGGGCCACTTTTGTCTCTGAGGGTTTGAGAGCCTGGAGGCTAGGAGAAGTACTGACTTCCTTCCTTCCATGGCCCGGGCCTGACTTTTTTTCCTTCTCTTGCCCTGCTCTGTCTTGGCTACACAAATCTCACCTAGAGCTAGCTCCACACTTCTCCCTGCCTTGGCCTAGTGACCTCTCAGGATGCTAGGGACAGTTCAGCACTATCAGGAGCCACCTTCTCATGGGGGACTGACCAGGAGTGTTCTCTATTTCCTGAGGCACCTATTAGTGTGTGTGTGTGTGTGGGTGGGTGGGTGGGTGGGTGGGTGGGTGGGTGGGGGTATCATCCGAGAAGAAATCAATGGACCACCAGTATTTTATTTTGTTTGAATTAATAAAGTTGAAATTGTGTTAGAGTCTTAACACAATTTATAGGGAAACTAGGCAGAGATCTGAGTTGTACACATCTTCCCGGAGCCGCGACAGTTCCCCAGGTGACCAGTGTTGCTAGTCATTGTTTCCCAAAGTACACAGTTCACACTCACACCCCAATGGTAAGTGGGCCACAGCCAGCTTGCCGCACAGGCAGCCACGCTCAGGTTGGGCACACCCTCATTGTGGTCTAGGGAATCTGTCTTTCTCTTTTGGTCTTGGTAGCCTGAATACAGACCTATCACTCCAACCATCTCTTCAGAGAATCTAATCAGGGCTTTGACTTCCTCTGACTTCCTGCTTTCAGGTTTTGTTTTTGTTTTTGTGTTTTTACTTCTAATCGGGTGTTTGGTTATTTCTGCTTTCGGGGGGGTTAATTCTGTTCTTGTAAGGTTACTGACTCCGGGTCTTTTTCCTTTCCAGAGCATGCAGCTAGCACTCAGAATGTCCCTCTAACATAGTGCTTCTGTGGCTCTCACAAATTCTGATAAGCTCTTCTTTAGTTTCATTTATTTAAAAATATTTTTAGATTCCTCTTGAGACTTCTTTTTACCCCTGTGGTATTTAGAAGTTGTCGTCTCTATGCATTTGGAGTGCTCCTTTTCATGACTAGTTTCCAGTTTGTTCTCATGAGTTCTGAGAGTGAACTCTGTGGTTTTCCCCCTGCATATCTGATGAATGGCCCTAAAGGTACTTCCCTTGTCCCCAGTGAGCTCAACAGGGTGTTCCCTGCTGTGTGACAAGGTCTAGGAACTCTGATTGGCTCTTCTCAGGACCTCATACAGTGGAAGCCTGCAACCTGTCACTTCCTGTCACTGCCTCCTTTCATGAACGTTCTTGATGTTCATCTTAAGTCAGACTGGAGGGTGGGCTTCCAGCACTCCCTTCTGCACCATGGAAGGGTGTCTCTCACAGAGCAGAGCATTCAAGCTCACCTGCCTGTTCTTCAGTAGCTCTTAAAGAGAAGGAAGGCACCTGGGCCTGTGGTGTAGAAACTAACTGGACCCAGTTGTGGGGCCTGGGAACAGAGGGTATGGCTCCGAGGGGCTGAAGCACGGGTGTGAAGCTGAGGTGGTGTTGTGTACCACCTGCCCACAGCACAAGAGGCACCTCCCAGCCTCCACCCTGACACCTCGCCCTTGAGGAAACGCCCATCGTCACAGGGATGGAATCAGAATGGTTCTGGCCCACAGGCTTGCCGAGAGCAGCCTCCTGGTACGGAGGGGTCACGGTGTGGTCTGCTGTTTCACCTCCTCCTAGCCTCTCCCAGACCTCTAGAAACGGAAGCCACACTGTTCATTGAGGTGGGAGCCGCCCTTGTGAGGAGTGTTTGTGCTGAGTCTCAGGGCACTGCTAGTGTGTGGGAAAAACAGGAAACAGGAAGGCAGCTGCCATCAGCTGTGGGCGGTGGGGTCATCTGCCTCACCCCAGTGCTTCTGCCTTTCAGAGGCTCAAAGATGAACAGAGCTCCATCTATCTGAACAGCTCACAGCTGGGTCCCGAAAATGGCCTGTTGGTGGTAAGGCTGACTTCAAGTGCCTGGGATGGCCATTATTTCCCGTTCTCAGTTCTCACCCATGTTCTAGCCTGAGTCAGCAACCACTCAGGCTTCAGGCAGTGGTAGCTTCAGGCAAGCTCCACCAGTCATGAAAAACGGCTCTGCAAAAAGCCTTTGATATTGTAGTTCTTACCGTTTGGGTATTTTCCTCCACCAAACAGCAGTGGTGGGGAGTGGTGGGGAGCCGGTGCCCTCCTCCCTGGGCCTTCTGTCTTAGTTAGGGTTCCTATTATTGTGACAAAACATCATGGCTAAAAGCGACTTGGGGAGGAAAATGTTTATTCTACCTCACAGGTTGCAGTCCATCCACCCAGGGCAGGAACCTGGAGGCAGGAGCTGATGCAGAGGCCATGGAGGAGTGCTGCTTACTGGCTTGCTCTTCATGGCTTGCTCAACCTGTTTTCTTGTACAGCCAAGGATCACTTGCTCAGGGGTGACATGGCCCACCATGGACTGGGCCCTCCCACGTCAATCACTGATTAAGAAAATGCCCCACAAGCTTGCCTACAGGCCTCTCTATGGGCGCATCTTCTCAACTGAGGTTCTCTCTTCTAAGATTTGTATATCTCTGTGCCGAGGTAACAAAATAGATAAATAAATAAAGCCACCAGAACACATTATGTCAGCATTTCGGGGTGGCAAAGGTTTCCCTGGACTTCTAAAGACCTCCATTCAAGTCAAATCAGGATTTGTGGCTTCAGTACAAAAGAGAGCTCAGACCTTGCTAATGTGAAACAGAACAGCGATTTAATGAAGATATTTGAATATAGGCTCAAGCATGAAGGTTAGGAGAAAGGTGCTCAGAAGACACACTTGAGAGCATGGGTGTGCTCTCGACACACTTGAAAGCATGGGTGTGATCTCAAAGAGCCACAGAAAGTGGAACGCCCAGGTGTAGGTACAGGTTCCTCGAGGAGAGTCACAGTTGATTGTGTTTTACAATAGGGTGGAGGATCTGGGTGAGGTTTGAAAAGATGTTAAACCTGAATGAGATCTCCGAGTAGGTCCTGGGGGCCTCCTGACAAAGGTACACTTGGTAAGGAAAAAGTCTAGCTTACAGTGATATAGGAAGGTAGGATATCTTTGTTGTAAACAAAGTTAACAATTTTGGACTCTCTTAGGCAAGGCATTGTTCGATGACTCTGTAGTCCAATGGTTTCAGTCACAAGAAGCCTTGGAGACTGCCTGGGTTTGCCTCCCCGTCTCTAATGACAGACACCTTGGCTTAACAATTGCGTGCACCCAACCCGTGGGAGGTCCCACGTCCCATGTGGATCCTGCTGGGTAACAGGGCTTTTTCTCCTGATGCCATTCCCTCTGAATTCTCATAGTGTGTGGAGATAAACAACAGGACATTTGTGCTGCCAGCTGCCTGTTGCCCTTCTAGAAGCATCCATGAATATTAACATTGTTCATGAAGAACAAGATTTGGATGCTCTGGCCTCCCCATGGAGACTGTGACCCTCTTGGGAGAGCCTTACTTACTGTGTCTTACTACATGTCCTGCATATATGCTGTCATAGCACTTCTAGGGCCACATGTCCAAATGTCCTTTTTTTTTTTTTTTTTAACACTCTTGGACCCATTAACTTTGAGCCAGCATAAGACCAGTGGGCTGCACCCGCCCTCTTAGTGTCTGAGCCTAGGTTAGACATGCAGTGGCACAAGTACCACCCACTTGATTTTCCATAAGCCTTGTCTACTTGTGACACTGTCCTTGTGCCTTGCAGGGCAAGGTCCACCTGGAGCTGAGGCTGAGTGAGGTCATTACAGACACCGGTGTGGTCTGCCACAAACTCGCGGCACGGTAAGTCACCCAAGGAGATAAGTGCCTCCTTCGTTTCCCCAGAGGTTGCCTGTTTCATCCCTCCTGTCCTTGACGGAGCTGATGCCCACCCCCAGTGTGATTGACAGGCAGATCTTGGAGAAAACCTGATGTGTTCAGTGCCATCCTTCAGCTAAGAAGTGGGTCATTACCTTCCAGAGCTAGAAATGGGTATGAGTTGATAGGCAGGGAGGTAGCCCAACAACAGTGAGGTCACGTGGCTACATACAGACGTAGGAGGCACACTCCAAGTTAAGTTAGTCCCAGGACTTTGCAGCCGAGCACTCAGCCCCTCTGAAGGGTGGTGGGCACTTATAGTAATCCACAGGATGTCATGGCTTCAGGAGGGCGTAGTTCCACACATTCCATTTTGCATTCGTGTTTCAGGTTGATCCCACCCCGGCCCTGGGAGTGCACACCAAGTTGAGACTTTGCCCTTCAGACCATGGCCCTCAATGTGCTAGATGGATTCTCTTTGCTCCCTCTCCTTATATCATGTGCAGAGTAGCTCCATACATCACCCCTGTCCTGCTGGCTTTCAGGTCTCGGTTGGCTCTCTCTCCCTCTCTGAGGGACTCAAGCTGTGTCTTGGAGAGTCTTCCACATGGTTGGACAAGTAGAAGGGAGCTCTGGTGATCAGGGACATCACCACCTGTTCTCTACCTACTGTAACGAACTACTTGAGGCCAGGCAACTGACAAAGAGCAAAGATCTGTCTGGCCGTGGTTCTGTCAAGGCCTTGTGCTGTGTCCTAATAAGACGGAACAATCCCCAGTGAGACTGAAAATCAGCTATTGGCTAAGCTTTCGTCTCACCACCCTGAGTGTGGTCGCTGGGTTCCTGGAGCTGTAAGGAGGCCTTGGATAAGAGAAAAGAGTCTGTCTGTGATAAGGATATAGAAGTGTGATCCTGAGAAGGAATCCGGGGAACAGGGCCTGGTCTTGTAGCATCAACTAGACAAACCCAACCTCCTTCAGCTGCCCAGTAAAGATGGGAAGGGATGGAAGTTAGCACCCTATTTTGTCTGCCCCGGCTCTCAGTGCAGCAAGGGACCCAATGCCAAGTTTTCAATGTCGGCCTTGGTCAGGAATTAGTGTGGATGGTTCCTCCTGAGACATCTCCATACGCTGCATTTCCCTGATGAGATAGCTCACTGGTATGCGGAGCTATACCTCAACAGGTCCACACCGATGTAGCATAGGCCCATTTTGAGGGTTCAGTTGAAGAGTAAATCCCATAATTAGTAAACACAGAATGCTACAGTTCTTGTACTTTAAACTAGATTTGGGAACTTATTGTGATTCAAATTTTCCATTCACAAGCTTCAGGAATGGCTTACCAATGGTGGTGGGGGCATGGTGAATATTTTATTATCTTTCTCTTTCACACAGGTCATGCACTGTGTTTGTGAACCTTGATTCATGTCAATTTGGATTTAGATGAGTGCAGTGCGCAGTGTGGGACTATCCCTGATTCCAAGTCAGATAAACCTGGCTTCTGACTCTCAATCAAGGGTCCCAGTGTTGGAGCTGGAGAGGTTGCTCAGTGATTAAGAGCATTTGCTGCTCTTGCAGAGGACCAGGGTTTCATTCCCAGCACCCACTCTTGGGTAGCTCACAAATTCCAGATCTGTGGAATCCAGTGCCTTCTTCTAGTCTCCACAGGTGCCCACACACATGTGCACAGACACACACAGACATACGTGCACACATACAAATAAAATATACCTTTAAAAATATGAGACCCTAGTGATTAGACTCTTAGGGTGGAGAGTTCAAACAGTTGAGGCACTGTATCACCCTGCGCTGTGAGGGGCATGGGAAGCCAGCTGGCTTTTACTCCGAGTGACATGCCCTGCATGTAGAAGATCTCTTCCTGGTCTGCAGCTCCTCCAGCCATTGTAGGGCAGTCTCAGGTTGAACTGGAAAGTGTAGACTTTTCCTGATGTCTGCATGAGCTGGAGAGAGGATGCAGTAGTACTCCACAGATATACCTGGATGCTGCAATGGGGCAAGGCTGTGAAAGTCCCTCCGCCCCACCATGTCCAAAATGTGGTTGTGCCTGTGGAGCCTAATGCTGTTTGCTGATTAATAGCTGAATCTCATAAAACAGGTTTGCATTAGGTTGAGACTGTCCACCCAGGTGGGTCTCTGTGGCCTTCCTGGGCCAGCAGCTGTCCAATGTCTCCCTATGACAGCTGCCTCATTCCTCTAGAGACCCCTGACCACACTGAAGGGTTGGCTGCTACCTGCATGTCTCTGTATTATCCGGTTCTCTTACCTGTGCGGATCCCACAAAAATCTGTGGAGCAGTGGCCAGACAAGCAACACTACAGTTCTGACTATCATTTTGTATGTTCCTGGTGTGCCAGACAAGCAGACCTGAGCTGTGCAGGGCCACCTTTTCACTGCTCCGTGCTCGCTGATATTTCAGAATAGCCTGGAAGACGACAGAACTCAAAGGCCATCTGTTCAGTGGGCCTGTTGATGGATGAGTGAATGAGAGAAGGAAGGAAGGTAGCCAAGGGCCAAGTCATCAGAACGGATGAAAAGCATATCCCAGAAGGCAGAGAAGGGCACAGGGCTGGAGAATACTGGGTCAGACTGGCAGAGGTGCCAGACCATGCCACAGGGCACGTTTCTCCCAGCAGTAGTCTTGGAAAGCAAGAGGGTGAGTTAAAGAAAGCCTGGCAGAGTGAGCCGTCTCACAGACCCATGGGTGACAAGGCTCCCCCCAATACACGTGTGCGCGCGCGCGCGCGCACACACACACACACACACACACACACACACACACACACACACACAGACTACAGACTACTCAGGTGAAACAGCCCCAGGCATTCCAAGCAGACCTAAGCTCTTTGGAGTGTACTTCATGCAGCACCTCCCAGGCAAGTGTCTTCAGCCTTTTAAGATTCAGGAGGGGGCACTGGGACCCATGATGTGTGCAACTGTGCCATCAGTTGGGATCAGGGTTGAGACTGCTACCTTTGACTGATTGAGTTACAGGAACCTCATACAAAGGAACATGAGATGCACTGTATATACATTCATATATATGTGTATATACATACACATTCATATATATACATTCATATACACCCATTGTATATACATTCATATACATGTACTGTATATACATTCATATATTACATATACATTCACATATATACATTCATATATGTATACTATATACATTCATATATACCCATTGTATATATATTCATATATATATACACACATTCGTATATACGCACTGTATATACATTCACTGCTTCAGAAGCCACGGTCAGGGGACAGCTCTGAGCCCCCTGAAAAGAAACACATCTTAAGACATGGAGTCTCTGACTCTGTTTCCACCCAGCTGATGGCAGAGCACAGGCTGAAGGGAGCTGTGGCATGGGGTATTAGATCCTGGATGGAGCCTCAGCCCCGTGTCAAGGACCATTAAAAGCCCCCCTGGGTTTACATGTGTCTAAGAACCACTTGTATCCCTCTAGCCCGGGGAAGAGCCTTGTTATTGCCCAGAACACATAGTGCAGACAGAAAGATGGCTACAGCTTTATCAATTGTGAACCATCTCGAGGAAAGAGTAGCCTCCCCCAAAAGGCAGAAGATGAAACTGGCCAAATCAGAAGAGTGATAACCACAACTTAGAGCTTGACCTCAGCTACTTTGTTCTTTAATAACCAGCTGTGAAAATTCTGGATATTTGACCTAAACTTCACAGGGCCTAGCATCTGCTCAAAGAGCTCATGTCAATGGAGAGTAAAACTAAACCCCCAAGAGGTGCCGTCAGCGGAAAGACTAAGAGTGGCGGAATCGTGGCGCTCGCAGGCCAGTATAGGAGAGTCACGGTGCCGGCCAGAATATATGGACAACCTCGGGCATCGCTGTAAATCCCCCGCCTGTAGACAGGGATCAGGGAAGCAGCGGGGGTCCCAGGCCGAGAGCTTGCACTGTAGGAAGGCAAGAGAGGTGTAGGGGCTCCACAGAGGGGTTTTTAGTGCAGGCCTCTGAGCAGCGGAGGGCAGTGCTGGCCCTGGGGTGACACCTTGGTACTCAGCTGTCACCTAGGTGCAGTGGAGGGGCTGTGACTGTGGTCACAGGACTCAATACCCTAGAAGAGGTAATTTTGTGAAGGCCACCTGCTCTGTACTTTGCTTCCACAATGCTTTGCAATTGCTAATCCTCATTCTTGCCAGAACTTGCCAGGCCATAGGAAAGAGTAGAACTCCTGGTCTAGGAAGCACTGGTTTGGTTTATTGTGACCTCCATGTCCTTCCCCTGACCTCTGTCTTCTCTGTCTCAGCATCTTCGAGTGCCAAGGCCTCCCCATTGTGAACGGGCAGTGCGACCCTTACGCCACAGTGACGTTGGCCGGACCCTTCAGGCAAGTTGTCTTTCTGACATCCTACCCTGCCTGGGTTTCAGTTCTGGGTTGGGGGTGCAGGGAATGGCCAGATCGAGCTCCGGAGGCAAGAGGTTGGCCCTCTTTTCAGGGAGGTGGGCGTGGTGCACTTGGAAGCAGAATGTGTCATGTGGATTCATGGTGGCGAGGTCTGTTTCTCGGGAAGCCTTTGCGAGCTTCGTACCGGGTATTTTGGGCTCCGAAAAGGTCCCTGTTTTACATGCCATCTGGAGGTGGAGACAGACGATCCTTGAGAGATAAATAAAGGTAGTAAACAACTGTGCATTTGACAGCTCTGTTTCAGACCCATCTGGAGCCGACAAACTCTCTCTCTCCACTGCAGGTCGGAAGCGAAGAAGACGAAGGTGAAGAAGAAGACGAACAATCCCCAGTTTGACGAGGTGTTTTATTTCGAGGTCGGTGCTCCAGCGGGAAGAACTCCGAGCCTTGGCCCCGAGACTGAGAGCAAATCTCAGTCTGAGCCACCTGACTGTGTCTCAGGAGCTGTCCAGGCCCAGCCCAGGGATCCTCAGATCTAGGTGGCATTTGATTCCCTGGGCGTTCTCCTCCCTCTCAGGAGAGAAAAGCCACGGGTCTCTCCCTGAAGCGGCTGGCTCACGTTGGAAGGGCAGGTTGATGCTGTCACAGTCCCCAGGACTGGCGTTTGGGTTGTTTGTTTGGCCTCGGGGCTTTTGTTTTCCTGGCTGCTCACCACAGCTTCCCCAAGCAGGGTGAGGCTCATTTCTCCGGAAACGTGAGGGTTTGAGCGAAAAGGGGAAATGATTCAGCCCGGAGCACCCTGGGGCCTCTTAGAACTAGGGCAGGTTAGCCAAGAAGGGCGAGGTTGTAGCCTGCTCAGGGCAGCAGGTCCCCTCTCAGCCTCAGGGGCTCCTGTGTATTCTTTAGCACCAGGTTCTGGGGGACGAGGGGGACAGGCAAGGCCTCAGTTCCCATCTTCAGGGCCTGCCACCAGGCAGGAAGGAAAGGCAAGGTGTAGGTGCCACACAGCCTGGTGTTGTGATGGGCTGTAGACCGGCGTGGTGGCCCAGCATATCTAACGCCTGCACTCAAGAGTCAGAAGCAGAAAGATCGTAAGTGTAAGGACAGCCTGGTCTGCATAGCAACTTTCAGACCAGTGGGTGTTAAAGAGCTAGACCTTAATTTACAAAGTAGGGCTTGGGGAGATGATTCAGTAAAGCATTTGCTGTGCATGCATCGAGTCCTGAGTTCAGACCCTAGAACCCACCTAAAAATCCAGGCATGGCAGTGCACACCTGTAATTCCAGTTCTTAGGGTGAGGAGACAGGTGGATCCCAGAAGCTCACTGGCCAGCCAGCCTGGCCAAATCAGTGAGCTTTGGTTCAGTGAAAAAGACCCTGCCTCAAAAAATAAAGGTGGGGAGCGACTGAGGAAAGAATTCCTACATCAACGTTTGGCTTGCACACATTATAAGACAGACACACAAACCCAGTCAATACATTAAAAAATAAAAGCCACCCGGCTCTGGTGGCACAGACTGGCCGTGGTGCTGAGAGGGCAGGGCTTCTCAAGTGTGGAATTTTCCATAGCTTGAGCAGGGCTCCCAACCTGAGACTGGTACTGTCAGAGCTGGGGGCAGGGGCTCCGTCAATCTTCATGGACCAGGGTGCTGTGGATGGAATCAAGTTAGTCAGAGCAATGGACAGTCTTCAGAGCCAACCCTAGGCAGGGAGGAAGAGGCCTGAAGGCAGGTCTGCGGCCTGGAGGGTACAGGGGGGAGTGGTGGGGAGTAGCAGTGCTCTGTGCTGGCTAGGAAATCCTTGCCATACAGGCAGGTGGAGATGTCACAGAGCGGGCATGGCACTGGGGCCTCAGCGGGCTCTGCTGGGAGGCGTGAACTTGTGGTCAGAACATGTGAAAGTTTAGCAGGAATTGACAGTCAAAGCCAGTGATGTCTGTCCTTGTCTGGGCGCCTCAAGTGGCTCCACCAGGCTGTTATAATATGGCAGGAGTGAAGATGGACTCTTGCAACACCATGTCTACTCTGGTGACATCCTCATTCCTACTCAGTTTCTACTGTGGGAGACCCTGCGTCTCTGGGCTGTGCGTGTCTACTTGCTAAAGACATGAGCTCCAGCCGATTGGGTTAACTCAGTGTCCCAGAAGAAGCTTGAGAATTACGTAGTGTGGCGTCTGTCAGACTTCCAAAGACAGGTGGGGTCCCTGCTCCTCCCGGTCCGGTCCCAGCCTTGAGGTACTGCGGCTGTCAGTCTTTCAGTCCAGTGACTCAGCAGCCACACCCAGCTTACAAGACTTACCAGGGTTCTTTATCACTGTTTGACTTAAGTTGGGGACAGACTTGGGGGTGGGGGTGGGGCTTGGAAAGAAGATGAACTCCCTGGCTGACTGTGTAGCCTCTCACAGGGTACATGTTTTAGTAGAAGGTAGCTTCCACATCATTTTCTTCCTAGACTTAGCTTAGATCCTCCTTGCTGGGGAGAAGGGTGATGGGAAGCCTGGAGCCTGCCTGGGGCGTGCTTCCCTGAGACTCACTGTGGTCTGTACCACCGTCTTGAGTGGGAAGACGGGAGGCAGTAGGGACCAAGGGCCATCAGGACAGGGTGGTGTAGGAAGATGCCGGCGCCTGGTGGATGTGTTTCTGGGAGAAGCAGTTGACGGGTGTGGTGCTCAGGAGGGAGGCAGGTGCCTAGGTGTTCACCATTGCCTCACTATCCAGTAAATTAAAGCACTATCCAGTTAAGGAACATGAGCGTCAAGTTCTAGATCAGGGCTTGGAGCAGAAAGCCTCTCTCTGATCCTTGGGAAGGACCCACAGTGAGGGCAGCATCGTACACTACTGTGGTCAAAGCAGAGCCAGCCCCTTGGCCATTACCCTGAGCCTGAATTCCAGTTCCTGCACTGATGGCTTTCAGATAGGGTCTTGAGTGTCTCAGGCTGGCTTTGAACTCGCTATATAGCTGAGGATGACCTTGAACTTCGGATCCTCCTGCCTCCACCTCCTGAGTGCTGTGGTTATAGGCATGAGTCATAAGGCTATGTTAATATGATGCTAGGGATTGAGCCTTGTGCATGGTGGACAAGCATTCCACCAAGATACATCATCAGCCCTCCTCTACCTGTTAGGTTACAGTCATTCTAAACTGTCAGAAGAAAAGAGTGGTAGATCATTCCTTCAGTTCAGACTTCTCCCAGGCCTGCGTGTCCCTGCTGAACCTTTACTGCCACACTGGAGCTGTGGGTCACAGGCCCTTCCTTCTTCCTCACAGGGGCTGAGGAAGGAGCTGCACATTGTCAAAATGATCCACAGCCAGTCTCTTTCTCTCTCTCTCTCTCTCTTTCTCTCTCTCTCTCTCTCTCTCTCTCTCTCTCTCTCTCTCTCTCTCACACACACACACACACACACACACACACACACACACACACACACACACACACGTGCATCTATTCTTACAAGCAAGTCGCATGGCCCTTCCTTGGGTTGCAGGATGCAAAGCCGCCTGGCACATGTGTCTGACATTATTTACCCGCTTCTGACTCTAGGTGACCAGACCCTGCAGCTACAGCAAAAAGTCACACTTTGACTTTGAGGAGGAGGACGTAGACAAACTTGAAATTCGGTGAGTCGCTCACAGAGGTTGATAGCAAAAGTTAGGAGATGTATCACTTCAACAGGTCCCAGCCCCAAAACTATTGAGGTAGCCCTGGCACATCACAGCCACAGCTGTTGGGGGGGTCTCATTACTTGCCACCCTCAAAGGTCTAGGATCAGTTTTAGAAACCACGAGGGCTGCCTTCTCACTGGTACTGCCCTGTGGGAAAGCCTGCTGGCACCCGCCAGGTCTCTTTTCCAGACATTTTCTGAGCTCTGACAACCCCTGTAGAGACCATCCCCTTTGATGTTACTGATTCTTTCTGGGTACTGTGTGGATCCTGTATGGGTCTGCCTGCTCTGTTGCTATAGAAACCAAGTCTTCTGTAAAGGTTAGCATGCACCACATCCTCCCCCTGTGGATTCCTAAATCCATCTAAGTTGTTTGGGGAACATGCTGGTCATCCAGTGACCAAGCTTGCCATCAGGAGCCTCAACACTGGGATGAGAGACACCATCTCTCACATACGTATGTTCTCAGTGAAGCGGCCTCCTCCCTCTCGGTCATACAGGTATGCTCTGTAGGACGGGCAAAGATGACAGAAAGATCAGCCAAGTCTTCTGAAACATCCTCTTCCATAGCAATGCCCAATAGTCAAGGCCTGGGAGAGCCTGTGTGAGCCTTTCATCTCTCTGGCCCTGAACTCTGCTGAGTGTTTAATGCTGTCAGGAACCATGCTCCCAACCCACTCTTATTCTGGTGCAGATTTTTAGCCCCTAGTCTGAGGGAACAGGGAGCAGTTCTCTTGGGGAAAGGGCATCATTGAGTGGCCCATCCTCCCAAGAAGCACCGGACACTGCCGTGGCTACAGACTATGTTGTAGTGTGTGGCTCCTTGGGACCCAACTGCGGGCCCTCCAGTGGGTATCCTGGTTCACACCCCACAGTCTAGTGTTTGATGGAGACCGAGGCAGGGCTCCTAAGTTTTAGGAGCAGGGATGCCCACAGTGTCCACTACCCCTCCGAGGTATAGCCATGGTGGAGCATCTGCCCTGGCTGGCTATTTTGTCTTGTGGGCAGCTGCTCAGCCTGATGACGCCTCTATTGCTTGATGTGACGGGCTCGAAGATCAAAGCATGGTACATCCGGGCAGAGCCAAGGCCCTCAGGGCCTTAGCACATCTCTAACACCTGCTTAGGGCCCTTGAGTTACTCCTAGGTGAAGGGACCCAGGTCATAGCCAAGAATGGAGCAGCTGTTTGGCTCTGCCCCGTAATTCCCTCCACCAGACTGAGCCGGGGATCCCCACTGGCTCCCAGACACAGGTACCCTGTCTGCCCACGGCTTGTCCATTGCACTGAGAATCAAAGTCTCTGCTCCACAATGCAGCCTGGTTCACCCGCTCTTGGTAAAATCTTCACCCACTCTGAGAACTGGAGGCCTTTATTCTTATCCCCGCTGGGAAGCAGCCTTCCTCCATCCCCTGCCCACTAGGTGGGGCTGCTTAGTGAGACCTTCATGACACTTGCTCATCCCTTTCAGAGTTGACCTCTGGAATGCCAGCAACCTGAAGTTTGGGGACGAGTTTCTTGGGGAGCTGAGGATCCCTCTCAGAGTGCTGCGACATGCTAGCTCTTACGAAGCCTGGTAGGTGTGCATTTCAATATACAAGGCTGGGAATATAAAATAACTTCCCACTGTGCAGGGCACTGCACTGTGCTGACCTCTACCCCCACCTGCCACTGCCTGCTCTCCCTTTGCCCAGCTTGCTGTCTTGGCTTCTGTTCTTACGGTAGGTAATACCCAGCAGGTGGAGAGAGGTGACCTTCGGGCAGTGGTGCTGGGAGCCTGGCGACAGAGAAGGGTCCAGTTAAAAGCAGGTTCTAGAACTAAGAGCAGCTTTGGCCCTCTTCTGGGAGAGCGTGTCAGCACAGTCCAGTGGGCTGGCTTGGCTGTGGATGGGCCTTCCTGAGCATCTTCAGTCAGGGTCTGTTTGCAGGATATATGGGTCTTCATAGGCTGCTCCTCAGACACAGACTTTCTCTGTCTCAGAGCCCACCCAGGTGCTCATACAGCTTTCTTTCTTTAGACACTCTGGCTTTAGCAGGAGTGTTTCTTCATTTTATTCCATGATTGGTTCCTTAACGACACAAAGCACATGGATCTCAGTGTCCTGCTGTCCAGTGTCCAGTGTCCCACTGTCCAGTGTCCTGTTGACTAGTGTCCCATGTCAGGTGTTACTCTGAGGATGCTAAAGTAGACTCCTGTCACCAGGAAGTTGACTTCCAGTTCTACAGATGTGGTGCTCATGTAGGTCTCCTGCTAGTTCCATGGCCAGGTTCTGGGACACAGGGCTCCACCCCAGCAGACGACAAGTTCCCCGGCCAGGAATATTTGGGTGGCGAGGGATGGCCAGTGTGAGCCATCAGAGAGAGAGAGAGAGGTCCTCAGAAAACACTTCAGTGACCACCGGCCACCAGTACAACCCAACTTGTTCTTACGAAAACCACACACTTGTGTTAAACTGGTCCCCATCTTGTCTGAGCGTGGTATGGGGCCTGTCCTCTCACAGATGCTGACTACAAAGGCCCCTGGCCTCCTGTCTTTATCTTCTCCCAGCAGCTCATCTCTCTTTCCTCTCCTCTCCTCATCCACCCAGCTTTAGCCTCCCCTTTGCCTGTGAGTCTGGGGCTCTGCTACCGGAAACATCCAGGTGGCCGTGCCCTGAGAACAGCCCTGGAGCCTTGTCTTTCTGCCTGAGACCCATCTGTGACAGCCCAGACTCTCCAGGGGCAGGGCACTAGGCTGTCCTGGGAATGCCTCTGGGAGGACCCTGCCCTTACCTGCCGCTCTATGTCCTTCCTTCTTAGGTACTTCCTCCAGCCCCGGGACAATGGCGGGAAGAGCCTGAAGCCAGATGACTTGGGGTCGCTGAGGTTAAATGTAGTTTATACAGAAGACCATGTCTTCTCCTCTGAGTACTACAGCCCACTGCGTGACCTGTTACTGAAGTCTGCGGACGTGGAGGTGCGTGTCAGCCATGTTTACTGGTGGAGGCCCAAATCCAGCCCCACACACCTGCCCTGTGTACCCACCCGTCAGGCTCTGCCCATCCAAAGCATCTCATTGAGCCTTCACTACCCTGTTCCCAATACTTGGGGACACCTGTACCTATTTTGCTGTGCAAATGACACTTAACTCTCTCGGGTTATAGCTTCTGGAGCCCGACCTACTCAGGCTTCTGTCTTTTCCAGCCCCAGCGCTGCTGGATTTGGAGTTTGGTGGGAGAATGCTTAGGCCACACTCGTAGAGTATAGCCAAAGAGGTCACACTAGAGATTTTAACAAGGGTTTTCATAAGGTGTGGGTTTCTCTGCAAAGAGGGATATTTAATAGATGGGAAAGAAGCCACAGACGGAGTGAGTGGCTCTCTGCGCGGTGGCCTCCTTGTGCTATCATGCACATGACCATAGGGTGAAGGTCTGGAGTCATCAGGTACCGACCTATGGACGGGGCACAAGCTGCAGGGGGTGGGTGCCACCTCGTGTGCTCACTGCTCACACTTGCCCCCTGCCCAGCCTGTCTCAGCCTCGGCAGCTCACATCCTGGGTGAGGTATGCAGAGATAAGCAAGAGGCAGCCATCCCACTGGTACGGCTCCTGCTGCACTACGGCAGGGTAGTGCCCTTCATCAGTGCCATCGCCAGCGCGGAGGTGAAAAGAACTCAGTAAGTGTCCCCCGCTGCCCCTCGTCCCCTGCATGCCCAGCCCCCTTCCCGCCTGATGCTGTTTTCCCCGTACCCCAACCCCGTACAGAGATCAACTACCATTCTTTTACATTCCACGTGACTTTGCTGCTCTCCAGACCTAGCCATATCCTCGATGGGAAGCTGGGCCCCTAAGTACCCCGTGGTTAGACACCAAAAGTAGCCATCCTAACCCATGTCTGTACACAGCATTGGTGGGGAGTCAGGGTGTCGGGGTCTTCAGGAGCCAAGCAGGTTTCTGACCCCCTTAAACAAATTTCCTTGTTGGTCCTTTCAGAAATCACCATTTCTGAGAAAGTCCAGAGAGGGTGGGGGAGGGGTGGATTGTGCCCTAGGGCTTGAAGGACCAGCTCTGTCCACCTTGGTGAGCTCCAAAGAGGGGGTGGCCTGGGCCCCAAGGCTTGAAGGACTAGCTCTGTCTACCCTGATGAGCCCCAGATTTCCCTGTTGAGCCCCATTACTGAGTCAAAAGGTAGGATCTGCTCCTTTCTGGAACTGTAAGCCTTGTCTCAAGATGCTCTTGATGAAGAATGAACCAGAGTGAAGGCTGTTCTCAGGGCACGGCCACCTGGATGTTTCCAGTAGCAGAGCCCCAGACTCACAGGCAAAGGGAGGGCTAAAGCTGGGTGGATGAGGAGAGGAGAGGAAAGAGAGATGAGCTGCTGGAAGCAGCTACCACTGCTCCACTCATGTGCCTCAGTCTACACCGCTCCACATACCTGCCTCTTACAGGCTCCATCAGCTCCCACTGTCTCCTGAGGGCCCAGACCTGACCTTGTGAGCCCACAACCTCACCCCATGAACTCCACCGGTTCTCAACTCAGGACATCAGCAGCCAGTTGATGCCCGGCTTTGTGCGCAGCCTGAGGCTTTGGTGCAAAAAGCCAAAGATTTTGCAAAAGCACCCTTCATAGAGGGGTGAGGCAGGGTCCATCCAGCCCTGCACATCAATAGTTCAGAACTTGTTGAGATAGGGGTATTTGCCCCAGAGCACCAGGCATTGAGTTCCTCATGAGGTGTCTGGAAACAGGCCTGGCAGCATTCATGTCCCCACCCGGTGACCAGGCTCTCAGAGGAGGCTTTGCTCTCTTAGTGCCTCAAGGCAGACATCATCCCAATGCTGTTTTCCAGGGACCCCAATACCATCTTCCGAGGAAACTCACTGACATCTAAGTGCATAGATGAGACGATGAAGCTGGCGGGCATGCACTACCTCCATGTGACCCTGAAGCCCACCATTGAGGAGGTGAGATGGCCCTGGCCACTTTGGCATGGTGACCAGCACTTCTACGAGAGACAGGACTACCCACCAACCCACAGGGACCTCATTTTATTATATATTACAGAATCCTCTTTGCTTTAGGATGGATGGATAGGGTAGATAGACAGACAGAAAGACAGATAGATGATAGATAGGTGGGTGGATGATTGATTGATTGATAGATAGATAGGTGATGGATGGATGGATTGATAGACAGGCAGATGATAGATAGATAGATAGATAGATAGATAGATAGATAGATAGATAGATAGATGATGGATAGATAGATTGATAGATAATGGATAGATAGGTGATTGATGATGGATAGATAGATGGGTAGATGGGGATGGATGGATAGATAGATAGATAGATAGATAGATAGATAGATAGATAGATAGATAGATTGACAGACAAACAAATGATTTCCTCACTGTTAAAGACAGGACATGCATGAGAAACCTCATTTTCCTCAGCCACTCCTTCCCACATGCTGTGGGTCCCTCAGTTCCTAAGGCCTCAACTGTGACCTGGATTGTCCCTGCCTATGGTTCAGCTGCCTTTTGTATCCAAACTACCCCTGCTCCTAACTCCACCCCTACCATGACTCTTAGTGGATGTCTTGCTGACAAGACGGGTTGTGAAATTGGGTTCTCTGCAATGTGTGAAAATTTAATCTAGAATACTGGTTTATCTATGAGCAGAATCATGGGAACATTTGAGAGGACAAATGTGCTTGAAGCTTTGAGGCATCTCTTCATGAGTAAATCAAGCAATTCAGTCTTGGGGAAATGCCCACGGCATGGCTTCCTTGTTTATGGGTTCCTCCCAGCAGCCTGTGTAGAGGCAACTGTCTACTGTGTGGAGTCTCATAAGGCCTCATGGGACTCTGTGGGATTCTTTGGGGCTATGTGGTGTTGTAGAATATTATTTTAAGGTGTGTTATTTTTGTTTATGTTGCATTTGTTTAACTCTGTGAAGCTGTGTGACTTTGCCTGTCTAAAATACCTAATGGCCTGATAAAGAGCTGAACAGCCAATAGCGAGACAGGAGAGAGGATAAATAAAAGGAGAAATCTGGGAGGCAGAAAAAGTAGCCAGAGAAGGAGGAGGACCCAGGGGCCAACCACCCAGCTACACAACCAGCAATGGAGTAAGAAAGAAGGGTCTACAGGAAGAGAAAAGGAAAAGCCCAGAGGCAAAAGATACATGGGATAATTTAAGAAAAGCCGACTAGCAACAAGCCGGACATTTGTAATTAAGAATAAGCCTCTGTGAGTGATTTATTTGGGAACTGGGTGGCAGCCCCTCCCCCCAAAAAGGAGCAAAAAGAAACAACAACAGTGTGGGGCCAAGGCTGGTCCTCAAGGTAGCTGCAGTTCAGCCCAAGCCTCGGGATGCTCCTCCATGCCCGTAGCTGTCCAGCGTCCATTGTGGGCGCTGCCTCCAGGAGGGAAGCCTCTCAGCTCTGTCTTCCCACCTTGTGCAGCACCATCTTAACCCTCTTCCAGATTTGCCAGAGCCACAAGTCCTGTGAAATTGACCCCGTGAAGTTGAAAGACGGCGAAAACCTCGAGAACAACATGGTAGGTACCGGCTTTGTTCTGGGACACTTCCCAAAGCCAGCCTCCTGTTGGGGTTTCTGTTCACAGACATATAGACGCTGATTGAGGATCTCAGGCATGGTAGGGATGGCTGGGCCCCAAACCACTTGTCTGGCTCTTGACCTTGTACAGTATTGAGCCCATATGACCTATCAGCATCGGATGTCTATTAACCTCCCGTCTACCACTGCTCCACTCATGTGCCTCAGTCTACACCGCTCCACACACCTGCCTCTCAGAGGCTCCATCAGCTCCCACTGTCTCCTGAGGGCCCAGACCTGACCTTGTGAGCCCACAACCTGACCCCATGAACTCCACCGGTTCTCAACTCAGGACAAACAAACCTCTCCACTTGAATGCGTTAGGCTGCTCGAGGGGCCCCTGCATGTTAGGGTCTTCTTATGCCTTCCTACGGACTAGACTTCGTTAGGTTCACGCTTGCAAACAGAAGTGCAGGTTCCTTGGATCCTAGTGAAGTTCAGTCTGTTCTGTGATGCAGAGCAAGAGGACCCAGGGACCCGATTACTGTAGCCACTCGATACGGATCTTTGCAGCGAGTGTTTGTAAACTTCACGAGGTCCGGGCTCTCCTGTCCCTGGGCATGTCTCTGGTGCTCTCTTGGCCTCAGGGAGACTCTGGGTCTAACTTCCCGACTCTTACAGGAGAGCCTGCGGCAGTATGTGGACCGCATCTTCACGGTCATCACCAAGTCTGGAGTGAGCTGTCCCACCGTCATGTGTGACATCTTCTTTTCTCTGCGGGAGGCGGCTGCCAAGCGCTTCCAAGGTGAGCCACCAAGGGCCTGAGCTGGAGGATGAGGACGCAGACATCTTGGCTCACAATCCCCCAGTGTCTGCCTTCAAATGTTTTCTTCCTGGGGTCATAAATTCTGAGTTACTGCATTGCCAAGAAGACCAGTCCCTTGGGGGCCTTTCCCTCACCGAGACCCCCAAGGTTTCCCAGTGACCCACTTCTGCAGACCTATTCCTTAGTCCCACTAGCTCCTGGAGAAGCAGAGATGCCCTCCCCACAGTCCTCCCTAAGCTACATGTTTCAACCCCCCCCCAGAACATGATGCCTTCATGGCAGTCCCCCTTCTATGACATTGCCCAGACTTCTTGGACCCTGTAGGCCTTGAGCCCAGCACCTGTCCCATGCAGACTAGACCAAACCTCTCAGACTGCCCCCTACCTCCTCCTACCCCAGACCCCAGTACTATTGACCTCTCCTGCCCCAACTCTGGCCCCACCCACACCTCTCTAGGCCCCACCCATACCTCTCCAGGCCCCACCCATACCTACAGGCTCCACCCACACCTCTTCAGGCCCCACCTACACCTCTCCAGGCCCTGCACCTACCACTCCAAGCAGATCATTCCACAAGCATGTGAGTTCCCATTACTATTCCACACAGGCTGGAGCTGCATCTCAGGCCAGAACACCTTGCTCCTGGGACCAACCTCTGGGAAACATGAATCTGCATGTGTCCTGTAGACCCCAGGCAGCTCCATTCCCAGAGCTCTGGTACTGCAGGCCTCAGAGGGATAGGGAGGGTGTTTCCAACAACAAAATAAAGTTATCATCTCACTCCACATGGGAGTAGATCACCCCATGAGTCCTCAGGGGGGCTCTGGTGAATGACATTACATCTGTGACCCTCAGCTGCCAGACTGTGTCCTCTTGTGTGACATAATGAGAGAAACAGCTAGGGAGACAGAGAGATACAGAGACAGGAAGAAATATATAGAAATATGACAGTACTATTGAGACAGACAGAGGAGCAAGAGAAACATATAGATATATAAACTGAAGAAAAAGAACAGAAGATGCAGAAGAAATACATAAACAGAGAGAGGCAGAAAAAGAGTCTTAAGCCAAGTCTGGCTCATCGGTGTGGCCCTTGAGAATTGCCGAGCAAAATCAGAACCCATACATCATTGCTTCTGTCCCAGACTAAAATGTCCCCTGTCTGCTTACAGATGACCTGGACGTGAGGTACACGGCTGTGAGCAGCTTCATCTTCCTGAGGTTCTTCGCTCCTGCCATCCTGTCCCCAAACCTCTTCCAGCTGACACCCCACCACACGGTGAGTGAGTTGTCCTGGAAGCCAGACAGCCAGTCCACCTCAACCAGCCAGTCCTCCTTAAATCGCAAGGTTTCCACCTCAACCAGCCAGTCCTCCTTAAATAGCAAGGTTTCCACCTCAACCAGCCAGGCCTCCTTAAATAGCAAGGTTTCCAGCTTAACCAGCCAGGCCTCTGCAAATGGAAAGGAGGGTGGATTGAGCAGCTTTCTTCGCTCTGATGGGAGAATCAATACTATTTTATCTTATTTTTTATTTGTGTATGTCTAGGTATGTGTTGGAATGAGTGGTGCACAGGTCAAACTCAGATATCTTTCTTTATGCACCAGCCATCTTTTTTTTGAAACAGGGTCTCTCACTGGTGTAAATAGACATTTCCTGTCCCACACACCAGTTCCCAAATAACCACTCAGAGACTTATATTACTTATAAATGCTCAGCCAATAGCTCAGGCTTATTACTAACTAGCTCTTACATTTAAATTAACCCATTTCTATTTATCTACATTCTACCATATGTCTCATGGCTTGTTACCTCATTTTATTCATGTCCTGCTTGTTCGGTGGCTGGCTGGCATCTGCTGTGACTGCCCTGACTCCTCCCTTCTCTCCCAGCATTCTCCCTATGCCAGGTTGTCTTGTCCAATCTCTTTCTGCCCTGCTATCAGCCAATCAGCTTTATTATTAACAATGAGCCTAATCCACAGCACACTGGGACCTGGAGCTTGCCATTTAGGCTAGACTGACTGGCCAGTGAGCTCAAGGGATCTGTCTGTCTCCACATCTTCAGTGCTTGGATTACATGTTCCACTTTTCATGTGGGTGCTAAGGATCAGACTCATGCTTGGATAACAAGCTCTTTACCAACTGAACGATCTCTTCAACCCCTAGTTAATACTGTTTTAAATAATAATTCATGGTCTGACCAGGGTCTTACCTGCTAGTCTTTACTAGCGTTCTTCCCACCGCCTAAGCTACGCATGTATTACTTCATCTACTCATGGTGCACATGCTGTGGCCAAGCCCTGTCTGGGTGGACATAGCCTTCTACTGGGGCGACATATGTATGCCTGGTAGAGGCAAGGTGCAGGGAGCAGCCCCCTGCTAGGGGTTCTCCACCCTCCAAGCCATGTCAAAGCTGCGGGTGTCCCTGGCCAGGGTTGTGGAACCTCGGTTAGCGCTGCAGTGACCTGCTGGATTGCTGTAGTTTTGAGAGGGTTTTTGGCATGTCCGGTGGAGAGCCCTCAGCCATGTGGCTCTTCTCAGCTGTCAATGCCAAGAACCTGGTGACTTGATAAAATGGTCCCCTGGGGTGCGGCAAGGTCCAGCCCCAGGCAATGCATATCTTCCTGAATCTTCACCGATGTATCTACTCCCATTCTATGGTAGGTGTTTAGAGCAGTAGTTCTCAACCTGTGGGTCATGACCCATTTGGGGGCCAACTGACCTTTTCATGGGGGTCACCTAAGACCATCAGAAAACACAACTATTTACATTATGATTCATAACAATAAAAAATGACAGTTATGAAGTAGCAATGAAAATAATTTTATGGTTGTGATCACCACAACATGAGGAACTGTATTAAAGGGTCACAGTGTTAGGAAGGTTGAGACAGCATCATTTGTCTTATTACCTTATTCTGGAATTGACAGTTACTCTTCTACAGAACTAATAAAATTCACATTTCTCTTGTCTTGATCTCTCAGGATCCACAAACTTCTAGAACCCTGACACTTATCTCAAAGACAATCCAGACTCTCGGCAGCTTGTCCAAGTCCAAGTCTGTAAGTCTACGCTCATTTTATCTGATTCTGAACACTGGGTTATTGTTTTTTTTTCTTCTTCAGAAGCTATAAATGAAATGTTTTGAATATAGGGGAGGGTGTGTTCATCATAGCTATTAGGATATTGAATAGAATCAAAGCCAGTGTCTCCATCCCCCATCTCCCAAAAGTACACGTTCCAGCACTTCCTGCTGCCTCTGCCCTTACCAGTCATTGTGGGGGAGGTTCAATGGCCATAGTGATGAGCAAACCAGCCCCATCTGACTCTTTAAGGGGACAAGAGAGCTGAGCCTCCTCAGCTTTGCCCCAGGACCCCAAGCCACAGTAGGCCAGACGTGTTATTGACCTTGGCTGTTGGCGCTGTAGAAGCAAACCTAGGGACGGTCTGCACTACTATTCATCCACATGTAGCCTCTACATCCTGGACAGCAGAGGCCGAGCCCCTCTTACCCCTTCCGTCACAAGCCTGGATTTCCCCTTCGCCATCACTTGCCCTGGACCAGGGTTGGTGCTGAGGTCTTTGGCCTGCCCTGGACTCCTGTTCCTACAGACCTACCCTAGCTTTGATCCATGCTGCTAGCCCCAGGCTGCTGTGACCACATCTGTAGCTAGTTTGTAGCCCTTAATCCGGGTTCCCAGGTGTTGATGAGAATGAAGATGTGCTTTGAGCCAGGGGCTTCGACACAGACTCCCAGCAACCTCTATGGCTGCTGCTTCAGAATCCCCAGCTTCATGCAGAAGCTTCTAGGTGGGGCTGCCTCTAGGTGGGCTGCATGCTTACCATTCACCCGTGTGGCCGGGAATCACCTCACCTGTGGCACCCTAGGCTTGTCACTGTGGGCTGCAGCTTTCCGATCTGGCCCATGGGCATTGGTGCCGGTGGCTGTCAACAGATGACCTGTTTCCTTTCAGGCCAGTTTTAAGGAGTCATACATGGCGACATTCTATGAATTCTTCAATGAGCAAAAGTATGCAGATGCTGTAAAAAATGTAAGTGTCCCATCCTCTAAGGCACAGTTCCCCACACCCTCTCCATGGCCATTGCAAGGACCCACCACACCCCTTAACCAGAGGCTGGCCTGCCTGCCCTAAAATTCACCACCTTTGGCTCCCCTCAGAGTCCAGTGTGGAGACTCGCCCTCTGTTTTCTGTGCCAAAGGCTTTCTATTAAGTTACTTTCTGTTGCTCTGATAAAACATTAACCATGACCAACTTGGGGAGGAAAGGGTCTATCTGGCATACACTTCTACATCAAAGTCTGTCACTGAGAGACATCAGAACTCAAGCCAAAAACTCAAGCAGGAACCTGGAGGCAGGAGCTGAAGCAGACACCGCAGGGCAGTGCCATTGACTGGCTTGTTTTTCAAAAAGCTTGCTCAGCTTGCTTTTTGTCCTGTTTCCAACGTAATATTTTTATTGATTCTTTGGGAATTTCATATCTTCCACCCTGATCACACTCACTTCCTAGTCTTTCCATGCCCCCCTGCCCTTGTGACCTTCCCCCAACAAAAAAGAAAACAAACAAATAAAACAAAACAAGTCCAATTTGTGTTATCTATGTACTCACTGGAGTGTGGTCAAACTCTCAGTGGCCTGCCCCTTAAACAGAACGGAGTCCCTGCCCTCCTGCACCCCCGCCAGAAGCCATCAATTGTGGAGTCAGCTTGCTGTCTTATACCACCCAAGACCACCTGCCCAGGGCTGGCATTGCCTACTGTGGGCTGGGCCCTCCCACATCAGTCATTAATCAGGGGACGCTGATGGAGGCAGTTTCTCAGTTGAGGGTCGCCCTTCCCGGATATGTCTCGGTTTGTGCTGAGTTGACCAAAAGTGGTCCACGCGGGTCTTACATTGACTGTGTGTTAACACCCGTGTGTGCTCTCTGCGCCCTGGCCTGATGCCTGTGTAGAAACAGACACTTCAGGACCCTTGGCTTTGCTCTTCGTCTACCGTTCAGAAGCAGTCTACACAGCGTCTCTCTTAGAAATCATAAAGTCCTCAACAGTGAAAGGGAAGTAGGGACCGAAGCTGGGGGTGACAGAAGGAATCCAAGGAGTGGTGAGGTCACACACCAAAGCTAGGGTGAAACATGAATCTTAAAAGGTCTTATTAACAGAAAACCCAGAACCAGATATTGGGGTGAAGGCTGAAAGATCAGAGAAACGGAACAAAGCACAGCCAACCTCACCTAGCCAGCTCCTCAGCCGATCCTGTTTCCACGAATCCTCAGACTGAAAGCCTCTGAGTCCTCACCCCTGAGGGTCTCAGTTGAACTGCTGCTTAGTTCCTGTCTCCTCAGGCCTTATACACCGTTCTCCACCCAGCCTGTCACTTCCTGGGATTGAAGGCGTGTGTGCTTTCCAAGCAGAGGCATGAAATCTCAAGTACTGCGTGTGCCACCATGCCTGACTCTGTTCCCAGTGTGGCCTTGAGCTCACAGAGATCCAGACGGATCTCTGCCTCCCAAATGATAGGATTAAAGGTGTGTGCCACCACTGTCTGGCCTCTATGTCTAATCTAGTGGCTGGCTCTGTCCTCTGATCCCCAGATAAGTTTATTAGGGTACATAATATGTTGGAGTATGCAATATATCACCACACTGGGGGCCAGGAAGAAGAGCGACCTCAGCCAGGCAGACTAGTGGGGCTCTGGATGGACTAACGCCTCCTTCCCACATACCTCAGGGTGTACCACTAGAACCTGACTTAGACCTACAAAGCTCAGGTAGAATCCCTAGCATGCACCTGGCTCCTGGTGAGAGCCCTGGCAAGGTCACGGCAGATGGACAAGACCTGGCAGGATGGACTGGGCTCATCTCCTGGAGACAAGAGCAGACAGCTCTCTTAGGACTCACATCCCCAAACCTCTCCCCCAGATTCAGAGGTCTCAGCATCCAGCCAGGCTTCTGGCAGAGCAGACTCTGTCCACATGCTTCCCTTCTGACGGTCTGATTTCCTCCCACTTCAGTTCCTGGATTTGATCTCATCCTCGGGGAGAAGGGACCCCAAGAGCATAGAGGAGCCCATCCTGCTTAAAGAAGGGTAAGGAATTGGGTCTTGGTGGTCGAGACTGTGGTATTGTTGGCCTCCTTCTCTGCCCCCATCCCTCCCGCCCCATAGTCCTGCCCGAGGGATCCTGGGAATACATCCTGCTCTTGTTTGCATGAACTTTAACAGGCATGCCTAGTTCCCATGAGCCCTGCTCTGCATCCCAGTTCCCAGTTCCTAGTTGAGACTATGTTCAGCTAAGCCCATGACCCTTTGCTCCAGCTGGGGCCATCTACAGGTCACCATCAGGCTGCCCTAACTGTATCTGTTGTTTTTCTTCAAATCACCTTCTACCTTAACCACGTGTTCAACAATACATACATGACACCATGGGATATGCATTCAATTCACAACCTCTAAAGCAACAGGTTTTGTCTCATAATCCTTAACTTGGCCCAGTGTGTCCAGGCCTTGCAAGCCTTGTATCGATGGTAACAAACTCTCCGGGTAACCAGCCATTGCAGGAGGGATGCAGCCTCTCCAGCTCTGCCAACACACTACGAGAATTTCACTTGCTTTCTCATGCCGGGGTTTGGGGCCTTGACCCCACACTGAATCACTCACTGCCTGTTCCTCTTCCGGGTCATGTCCTCAGAACCACACACAGCTCTGTGCATAGCTGCCATGTCACCCTGGAGAGTGGCCTGTCACTTCCCACCCCATCTTATCATCTCCATCCACTTGTGGAAGTAACTGTGTTCACAAAGGCCTACACCATGATTAGGTGCACTTCTGCTTCTGCCAAAACATTCCTCAGTCCGTCACCTGCCAATACACAGGACTGTGAGGTCGACTTTGTGCATTTCAGTGTATTTGCTGGGTAAAGTCAGCCCTGCTTATGTGAGGCCAGTGACCCTTATTGTAGCCTCCAGCATTGACTACTGCCTGTCCCCGTGAGGAAAAATTGGTGGCAGTTAGAAAAAGTCACTTATGCATGTGATACTTGGGTCAAAAATTGAGCAAGAATAGTTATGAATCCCTTTTCAAGGATCCGCAGGTACTTCTCCATAGAGCCATATAGTGTTCCTCTATATGGTAAAGTCCAACATTACAAGTGATGCTGTGCACATACATTTTGCACACATTCCGTGTGTTTACATGTCAAAGAGAATTGTGTTTTCTAGGAAACTACTAGAAAGAAGCAGAACAAGAAAAAAAAAAAAAAAAAACAAGAGTGTGTATGCCCTTCAACTTCAGCCTTAACACAAGGTCATAAAAGGACAGGGTTTTAGTACCCCTGCCTGCCCATGGCATATGAGAGTGCAGAATTATTATGGTTATGTGTCTGGAGGTAGCTCGGGCCCTGACCTGAGAACATTCACTGGGCGCCATGTGCCCTTTGTGCCAGGTTCATGATTAAACGGGCCCAAGGAAGGAAGCGATTTGGAATGAAGAATTTCAAGAAGAGGTGGTTTCGCCTGACGAACCATGAATTCACCTACCAGAAGAGCAAAGGTAACAAGTTTCTACACTCCTTCACTTGGGGCCCAGCAAGGCAGAGAGGCTTCCCTGGTTAACAGGCTGACTGCCACAGGAGCCTGGGGAGCAGGGGAGACCTAAGAGGAGCCTCAGCCTCGGGCCCTGTGAGCCTCGGTGAAGATGACCGTGTTCTCAGGAATCTGCTCCCCTTAGAACCAGAGGGTACAGAGCTGACTGTGGTACAGCAGACCCTTCACCCCCACTTTTATTTCCTCAACTGTCTGTAGCGTTGCTGCCCCTGGTACCCCTTTTTGTGTCTTTCTGGCTCCTGTTCCTATGTAGGATGCACAGCCCCAGAGCAGTGATTCAGCAAAGAGAAGAGAGGCCTCGGGTTTGGCAGCCACAGGCTTTCCTTAGGGAAGATGTACTTAGCCAGGTCTCCTTGTGCCTCATCAGTTCTGGGTTCCAGTCATAGGGATAGAGCTGAGCAGTCCTGCCGTGCCCTAGATCCAAACGGGCTAGTGTGCTGTAGTGCTGGAGATGGTGTGGGCCACGTTCCTGTGGACCTGACTGAGACACTTTATCTCCAGCGTGAGAACAGGGCCAAGGTCCTGCCTTGGTGTAGGCACTGTGCTCTGAGGATCCCACGCCTACCCCAGCCCCACATCCATTTCCAGCCTTTAGGAAAAGACAGCCAAGAGCCCTCTCCTGCGGCCTTGCAGTCCCTGGGCCATGGGGAGCCTCACGCCGGCGAGGGGCGGGGCACGCTGTGCACCTGAGCACAACTCCCACCCCTTCTCTGCTGCAGGTGATCAGCCCCTTTGCAGCATCCCCATCGAGAACATCCTGGCCGTGGAGAGGCTTGAGGAGGAGTCCTTCCGGATGAAAAACGTGAGCGATGGCCCAGTTCCAACCCAGCGGGTTGTCCTTCCTCCTCCTTGTCCACCTCCGCTGTTGGCCATGTCCCCTCCCCCATGACCCTGCCTATCCAAGCCTGGGGTCCCTGCCACCTGGCCACTCATCCTCCCACCTCCTCCTCTACCTGGCTCCGTGGTAGAACCTACGAGAAGCTAAGCAAATGGCCCGGCGCCTGCTGGACTAGCAGCCCCTGATCCCACCCTCCGTGCTCAGATGTTCCAGGTTATCCAGCCAGAGCGTGCCCTGTACATCCAGGCCAACAACTGCGTGGAGGCCAAGGACTGGATCGACATCCTCACCAAAGTGAGTCAGTGTAACCAGAAGCGCCTCACCGTGTACCATCCGTCTGCCTACCTGAACGGCCACTGGCTTTGCTGCAAGGCCTCCTCGGACACGGCCGCTGGCTGTACTCCCTGCACCGGGTAGGTCCACGGCTCTGCAGCCCTGTCCAGCCAGGCACAGCCGTCAGCCTTTGCGCTATGTAAGGCGAGTCAGCTGAGATACGGAAGTGTGACTAAGATGTAATGAACCAGAAACCACACGCACAGAGCTGTTCCTGAGGGAGCCCTTGGTGAGGTCCTCTGAAAGGCTCTGCATAGGCTGGTGGGAGCTGCAAGCCTTCAAGATTCCTCTCTATCTCCTGCCTGGGGCAGAGATGTTCAGAAGTAGGCTTGTGTGGAAGGTCTTCAGCAGAGGACCCAGGGCAGGGCGCTCTGTCTCTTCGACAAGGAACATGCATGGTTTGTGCATCCCTGAGCACATCCTCAGCTCACAGATGCCTCGCCCTGGTTTCTCTACTTGAATCACTGCCTGCAACCCCTTCTTGGAAACTGAGGCAGGTCTTTGCCTTCCTGGCCCTGTGGTGAGCTGGGCTTCCTGCAGTTGTCAAGACTCTATCAACTATGCCGGTCCTGGAGGCAGCCTAGTGCCGGGAAGATTGGTAGTGCCCCTACATGACTTGTCCACGTAAAGAAGCAATGATAGCCTCATGTGACAAGTCCTGAAATGGAGGACTGTTCAGGGTCACTTACCCTTCAGGCTGTTACTGAACCCTCCCAGAGCTTTGGAGTCATTGTACCCAGCTTCATTAGTATAGGGCCTGAGGCTCAGGAGGGTCCCTTGTCAGGCTCTCAGGGGTGTGTGTGTGGTGTGGCCCATATCCCCAGAACCCTCCTGGGAGGAGATCAAGGGTTTCCTCCATCTTTACCCTGGGACAGGAGCCAGAGCCCCTCAGCCTTCAAGGATGTGAGGACTCAGGACTCATGTGTGTGGTTCTTCTGGGTCATTCCTACCCTACGTGCCCAAGAAGACCTTTTCTCACATAGTCCTTTCTCATATTGCTGCCATGTCTGAGTTTCGCCCCTCTCTCTCTCTCTCTCTCTCTCTCTCTCTCTCTCTCTCTCTCTGTCTCTCTCTCTCTCTCTCTCTCTCTCTCTCTCTCTCTCTCTCTCTCTCTGTCTCTCTCTCTCTCTCTCACACACACACACACACACACACAAAGCAAGTGTTTAAGGAAATGCATTAACCGTTCTGTACTTGCTGTGTTTGGACAGCGGACTCCCAGCAAACATCCAGCTGGACATCGACGGGGACCGTGAGACAGAACGCATCTACTCTCTCTTTAACCTGTACATGAGCAAGTTGGAAAAGATGCAGGGTGAGTGTGGACCCTGGGCACCAACCATGGAGAGTTGTGAATTGGGATGAGTGACCTCAGAAATGCTACTACAGAGCCTCTGGGGTCCTTGGTGCCCGCAGGCGTCTGTTACACCTCAGAAATGCTACTACAGAGCCTCTGGGGTCCTTGGTGCCCGAGGGCATCTGTTACACCTCAGAAATGCTACTACAGAGCCTCTGGGGTCCTTGGTGCCCGCGGGCATCTGTTACACCTCAGAAATGCTTCTACAGAGCCTCTGGGGTCCTTGGTGCCCGAGGGTGTCTGTTACATTGGACAGGGAGCTTGGTGAGGGTTAAAGAGTAATCGGTAGGAGAGTAGTTTGGCCATGGAATATTCTGACATTTTCAGATAGAATTTAACGGGCAAACTGTGAACTTGGGGATTCTTTGGCCTTTCTTAATAACATCGCACCAACAAAGGATTTCATTCTTCTGTGCTTTCCAGAGAGGTGTGTACGTATGCATGTGTGTGTGTACATATGTTACATAGACATGCACACATGTGGATGCACACACTTGTGGAAGCTTTTTGAGGGAGGGGCTGCTCTGAAGAGCACACTGGAGTAACCTGTGCAGACATCCAGAGACAGGGCTGGGGAAAGCAGAAGCCTGGACTACATCCCACACTGACACTCTCCTGCCCGCCCTCTCCCGCTCTTACAGAGGCCTGTGGCAGCAAGTCTGTGTACGATGGCCCTGAGCAGGAGGAATACTCGACGTTCATCATTGATGACCCCCAGGAGACCTACAAGACGCTGAAGCAGGTCATCGCCGGGGTGGGGACCCTTGAACAGGAGCACGCACAGTACAGGAGGGACAAGTTCAAGAAGACGAGATATGGAAGCCAGTGAGTGCTGGGGCGCTCCAGGGCCATGGGGGTCGATGGAGAGATCTGGACCCTCAGTGAATACCCACCTCATGTGGAGGGTGCTGGGGCTCCATGGGGTTCAGTGGCCTGGGCTTAACTTCATCTGCTGTCTCTTGTAGAGCAGATACCCGGCTCTGCACACACCAGGGCGTGTGCAGGGAGGCAGCACCCTCGCCTTGCCCTCCCTGCTTGAGACCTCAGCAGTAGCTTGGGCTCAGCCCCACCTGCCATTACACATGACCTTTGCCACCTTCCCAGGCCACCGAGGGCTCTGGGTGCAGGGTCACTAACTAACCACATTCTTGTCCCTGGTTGAGGTGGGAGGGGTGGAGAGGTGGAGGACTCAAGCCTTATGGAGGAGACCTTCAGCCTGTCCAACTCTGGCCATGTGGTCCCAGGCGAGTCAACCTCTATAGGTGAAGAGTTTGGGAAGATCAAGTTAAGATCCACAAAGGCTGGGACAGCTCCTGTGGCCCACCTCCATCCAAAGACTGCTCAGGGACTTCTCTAAGTACGCACGGCATAGCCCTTAATGGGTGGGTGACCCACAGAGAGCATAGAGCGTTCACACGTACAGCATGTGGAATATGCCATGCACAGCAGAAAACAGTCATGGCAGGTGCTTCTCGGGGTCAGCGCTGGCGCTGTTAGTGGATCCCCTACTTCCTGTATTTTTTATGATGTGCGTGTGTCACGGTGACAGACACAAGGACTGCTAAAAGTACAGTGGTTGTTGGGGTATCGGGAGCAGAGTCTCACTTTCTCATCTCTTCCCCGTCTCCAGGGAGCACCCTATTGGAGACAAGAGCTTCCAGAACTACATCCGGCAGCAGTCTGAGATCTCCACCCATTCCATTTAACGTCACAGCATCTCCTGAATGTGCTGTTGAGCCACGCCAGGAAACCCACCACCTGTAAAAACGGATAAAAGAAGAAAACAGAACACACACGCAGGGGAAGGAACCACGCTCACCAGTTCACACAGGTCCTACCCAGCTGGCGGGACTACCCAGCGGGCGGGCCGAGCATGCTCTTCCCCAGCAGGGACTGTTGCCTGGGCTGGGCTCTTTCCTTTCGCTGCCAGCACAGGTGGTCTGAGCCATTCTGGAATGTATGATCATTTGTCTTTTTACTCCTTTGGTTTTACGGGGGTCCAGGGATCTGTTAACTATTAGGGGAGTGTGGACTTTGTCTAAACCTGTTCCCACATGGCCCAATCCCTCCTCACGGAGGCATGGCTGGTTCATTCATGGCGACGTGCACCTTCCGCACAGTACACTGTCTCTTGTTCTTGGCCTGCTGAACTCTGTGGCCCTGCCACGTACATGTAGCAGCCCGGCCCTAGCCGTAGCAATTGTACTCAGTCCTTGTCTGGGATGTTAGAAGCAGTGTTTTCCTGGCAGCCAGCAGGCAGGCAGCCTTTTTCCTTAGTTTGTGTTGGTTTGTTCCTGGCCAAAGGGTCGTTTTGTGGCTGGGATGGACAGGATGGTACAGGAAGTCTTTGATCTTTGGGGACATGGAGAGGGAGGGCTGTGAGCCCAGTCTTCGCTGGGTGACCATCAACCCTCAGTTTGAGCACACGTCTGGATGCCAGGTGAGTTTTTTAAACTAAAATCCACATGCTTGCTACCTTGATGAAAGTTTGGGGAAGAGTTTTTAAATGTGCATTTTTCAAGCTGTTTTTCTTAATGTTTTTAAAGGACTGTTTTTAAATAGCATTTTGATATAAGGCAGTTTGGAACATCGACACCTATATGCATTAAAGGGGATGGTACAGGGAAATCCCAAAGGGAACAGTATTTGTTTTCTCACAAATCCAAAGGGTCCTCAGGGACAGAGACCCAGGCTGGGGACTGCATCATCAGCAATAAAGGCCAAACATGGTATTTCACATGCCTGTGTCTCTGTGAACCCAATAGGCTATACATGGCAATGTCTAGAGATACTTTTGATTGGGGTGGGAGGGTCCTGAAACAGACAAGACAGACTGCATCAGCTTGGCCCCACAGTGCTGCTGGAGCCTCATCCCACACAGCATCTCCAGAGGCTGAGAGAAAGGCACTCTGTGGGCAGATGTTGCTGAAGGACACCCCGCGCACCCCAGTGCCAGTTTCTCTTTGTTCTTGTTGGGATGTTCACTCTTCATCTAGAAAACATAACAGCATTTGGTTGCCACAGAAATGGAGGATAAAAAAAAAGTCTCTGGACACAGCAGTTAGGCTGCACTGAACCGGGTTTTAACATGGATTTGTAACTTAATGTTTCTGTTTATAAGATACTAACAATTTGCAATGTATTTTATCGGTCAATTAAAAACAGATGTTTTATTCTTTCTGAGGAGTGGTTTGGATTTCCCAAGGGGTTCACATGATGGGAACGGTGTACAGGAGGTACCCTACAGGAAGGGTGACAGATAAAGGTAGATAGCATCGCTGTCAGACCAGACAGGTGGCATCTCTGATGACAGATGGCGTTTCTGATAGCATATGATGTCTCTGACATGTGGTGTCCACTGATGACTCTGTGAGAGCCTGGCTTTTTGGTGTCCTCAAAAGAGTATGGCATTAGGCACCACTGGGGGGTCCTATGTAGTTGAAGACAACTAAGTTAGGCGGGGATAGATTCCTCCCATGTCTGCAGGGACCCAGTGGACTGAGCTCGTGGCAGAAGTGTGTGGAGCAGACATGCGGAAGCTTTGGGGGGGCTGCATGGCTACTCAGGCCTTGCTGTCTCTCTTGGAGGCCTAGAGAGTGAAAGGGCCACAGCGTGGAGGCCCCTCACCCGGCGAGGGACACCACTACATCACCTAATTCCCTTATCCCTCTGTTCTCCATTTGACTTTTACTCATTTCTCTTTCTTTAATTCCACTGGGAGTCTGAACCATTATAAGAAAAGTCTGGAGTTTGACTTTGAGAGCACTGAATGAGACATTTCTCTGGGGCCAAGAACTTGGGCCAGAAGGCTTCCAAGGACAAGGTGAGACTGACATGGGTCGCCGGTCAGCCACCTCTGGCTGAAGAAGAGTGTGGAATGGAGCAAGGAAGGTTTGACCCTGCTCCTTGGCCTCTCGTCTGCCAGTGAACTGCTAGGAATGGAGTGGCGAGTGTCCGCTGCCCTGACCACAGGCCTCTGTCAGCTTGGATCAGCTGGAAGCAAAGTATCCATAAAGAATTGGATAATACCAAGCCAGAGGTCTCACTGCCAAATCAGAGCTCTGCTTATACTGGAACATGCTTGTCTCGGGCCCAGTTCACGCTTGGGCATACCTAGTCAGGGCTCAGCTCAAACTGGAGCATGCCTAATTAGAACTCAGCTCACATTGAGTCATGGCTAGTTAAGACTCAGTTTATTCTGGGGTATGTAGCTGGAGTTTTTCTGCCTGGCCCACAGTCAGGACAAATCTCTGACACCCGCCAGTCCCACAGCCATTCAGACCCAACCAAGTAAACACAGAGACTTATATTGGTTACAAACTGTATGGCCGTGGCAGGCTTCTTGTTAACTGTTCTTACAGCTTAAATTAATCCATTTCTATTAATCTATACCTTGCCACGTGGCTTGTGGCTTACCGGCATCTTCACATGCTGTTTCTCATCGTGGCGGCTGGCAGAGTCTCCCCGACTCAGCCTTCCACTTCCCAGCTCTATTCTCCTCCTTGTCCCACCTACACTTCCTGCCTAGCCAATGGCCAATCAGTGTTTTAATTATTGACTAATCAGCAACACACTTGACATACAGAACATCCCACAGCACTTCCCCCTTTTTTTTTTTTAAAAAAAAGGAAGGTTTTAACCTTAACAAAGTAAAATTACATATAATTTGGGAATTTGGGCGTAGCTTCTCTTACTACTTCCTGCTGGAGGGGGGCGCTGTATCTTATGGGGATACAAAGAAAGTTTTAGGATCATGGAAAAGTCCATGAGGGTGTATCATCTGAGCCAGATGCCTTCAAACCATTCTGGATGTTGGATCATCTGGGCCATGGTGTCATCGGAGACCTTTCAGGGGGTCTTGGCTGGTCAAACCTGATGTATCTTAATCTGGAACAAATCCATAGCCTTTGGCTTTCTGTGGGAACAAAAGCAGAGTCTCCTTTCCAAAGTAACTTATCCTTATATCCAAATTTTGAAGTCAAGGTACCTTTAAAATATACATTTTGGCATAACTCAACAGCTTTTACAATCAAATATTTTTCTGCAGTTAAAAGTCCCAAAGACAACACAATGCAGATTCTCTGTGTAATATCCATTTTTACGTGGCTTATTTTTTATACTACCTTTACTGTCTCTTTAAAGACTTTATTTTTTAAAACTATGTATTTATTTCTATAACTCTATATATCATCTTTTTTGTCTCTTTCAAGCCTACGTATCTTTTACACACATTGTAAACTATTACATCTGAATCTGTCTTATTGTGAATCTATTGCCTTAAACTGCAGCAGCTGTGGCTGCTGGATCCACCCACCTCAGCTTCCCAACATGGCCATGGTTTACCGCCAGCTCTGGGAGCTATCGGGGGTCTATGCTTTTAGCCAAGCAGCGTGTAGCCCAGAAACCTCCCCTTTTGCTCTGCACCAGCAAAGGCTAAATCCACCATGCAGCTCAAAGTGCCACTTGCAAAGGCCTCATTCCCGCCATAGGCAGGTCGAGCACCACGCTAGGAACCCACCAGTAGCTCAAACCGGCAGCTGCCGCTCATTTGAGAGAAACAATTAGGAACTGTTTTTAGCTCCGTTTTAGAATCTTTTTTCTCAGTTTTTAGGTGGAAACTCTTGCCCCACGTTGGGCGCCATTTGTTGCTAGAGTTTTTCTGCCTGGCCCACAGTCAGGACAAATCTCTGACACCCGCCAGTCCCACAGCCATTCAGACCCGACCAAGTAAACACAGAGACTTGTATTGGTTACAAACTGTATGGCCGTGGCAGGCTTCTTGTTAACTGTTCTTACAGCTTAAATTAATCCATTTCTATTAATCTATACCTTGCCACGTGGCTTGTGGCTTACCGGTACTTTACATCTTCCTTATCCTGATGGCGGCTGGCAGAGTCTCCCCGACTCAGCCTTCCACTTCCCAGCTCTATTCTCCTCCTTGTCCCGCCTATACTTCCTGCCTAGCCAATGGCCAATCAGTGTTTTAATTATTGACTAATCAGCAACACATTTGACATACAGAACATCCCACAGCAGGGGTATGCCTATTTAAGGCCCAGCTCACAGTCTAGCATGCCTAGTTAGTTAGGATTCAGCTCATTGGGGTGGGAGCAGGGTTCACACTTGATCACGTCAGTGAAGAGTCAAACGAGGGGAGTTGGGGATTTAGCTCAGTGGTAGAGCGCTTGCCTAGCAAGTGCAAGGCCCTGAGTTCGGTCCTCAGCTCTAGGAAAAAATTAAAAATAAATAAATAAATTTTTTAAAAAAGAGTCAACCGAGGGATAACTAGGAAGCTGGGAATAGACTAGTACCTGAGGAGTGGGGGAGGAGATACAGAAAATGAAACACCAGAGTACACAAGGCTCTAAGCCCCTCCATAGCTCTCCCTGATGGAGAACTCAGTCATGTCTGTGTGCCTTTCTCCCATAAGGTCTGTTAGTCACTGGAGAAAGCAGTCTCCATGAACTACCTCTAGGCTTCCATCTTGAGCACCAACCATCAGAGCATCTGGAGTGGGATAGGGTGGCCACCAACCCCGTGGGTGCTAGGTCTCCAGGATGGTCACTGGACCAGGTGACCTGCAGCCTCCTGGATGTGAGATGCTGGATGTGAGGGGGATGTGTGTGTGTGTGTGGAGACACCTGCCTGCACAGGGTGACCTGGCTGTCGGGAGCTGTAAGCTCCGAAGGAGTGATTTTGAGGTCACTTGCAAAGCCAGTGGCTGCAGATAGAAACCTCAGTGAACATCTGCCCTGAAGCAAGAAGCTTTGTCCCCCTGAGGGTAGAGTGAGGGACCTCACTGACCCATTCTTCTCCATTCAGCTAGCAGGAAAACATTTATTTTGCTACTTTCGGCTTCATTATTTATGAAGCTTTGTTTTAGTTTGGTTCCTATGATTGTGGTAAACACCACAACCAAGAGTAACTTGGAGAGGAAAGGGATTTGGGCTTATACATCCTGGTCACAGCCAGTCATTGGGAAGGCAGGGCAGAACCAATCATTGGGAAGGCAGGGTAGAAACTCAAGCAGGATCCAGGGCAGGACCCATGGAAGAAAGCTGCTGGGTGGCATACTGTGTGGAAGAGAGGGATTCTCGACCCTTTGGAGCCCAGAAGGTCATATGTGAGTCCTAGACACCAGACACTAAGCTATTTAATTTTGGTTTTGCTTAGCTTTAATTGTAACTTCCCTGGTTCTTCCCTTGTGGAATAAGAAAATGTAAGGTATTAACTTTCCATGAGCCCACAGTTGAGTGACTTCAGATTTTTAAAGAGATGTTGGGTTTTTAAAGAGAAACCTAAACTTTTAAGTTATTGGAATTGTTGAAAGACTCCGGGACTTTGAAAAGCTAAACTACATTTTCTGTCATGGTAATATTAACATGGCATCTTGGGGACAAACAACAAAGGAAAATGTATGGTTTGATGCTGATGTGTTTGTGTGTCAAGTTGACAGAAACTAGCCAGCACAGGGCCCGTGCCAGAGAAATAAATTCATATACCTGTCTTCCTGCTGAATATACCTTGAGTCAGTTTGATTCTCAGGCCCGATCTAAAGCCCTAGAGAGGCAGGGTGCCCTTCCTGCCAGCATCGTGGCTATCGGTGGCTGTGGACTCGAGCGGGGAGCCAGGGAACTTCTGTTAGGCTGTGTTAGGTCGAGCTGTGCCCCCAGCATCTGAAGTTGATGATCTAACACCAGAAACCTCAGACATGACTGTGTTTGAGAAGGGGGCCTTGGAAAGTTATGAAATAAGGTCACTAACGTGAATCAAAGCTCCTAGAAAGATTGACAGCTTACAGTGAAGCCGGTTAACTGATGAGAACCTCAGTGACTGTGGAGAAGTTGCAATGTTGCAGGTCCAGAGCCTAATTACAGTTTATCTCGGGCTATCTCTAGCCAACTTCAGGGCCGTTCCTTGCCTCCCTCTGTGTCTGACATAACAGCCTGTGACTAACAGGTACAACAACCACGAAACTCTGATTTCCCGAACCAAAAGGTGACGGTTGCCACCAGATAGCAGCTGAGGCCTAGAGCTGAAGAGCCCCTGCTTTTTTTTGTGGCCATCTATTTAATATTTCCGCCAATGTATTTGAAAAGTACCTTTGTTTATGGCTTTCCTTGTCCTGCTAAGATAAGAACTTCCAGAGGCTGAAGACAGCACAAAGAGAACATCTCGAGTTCAGTTCCCAGAACTCAGGTTGAGTAGCTCACAACTGCCTGTGACTCCAACTCCAGGAGACCTAATACCCTTTTCTGGACCATAGCAACACCTGCACTCATGTGCACATACAACACACACACACACACACACACACGCCTATAATTAGTAATTTTTTTTCCCTCGGGACAAGGTTTCTCTGTGTAGTTTTGGTGCCTGCCCTGGGTCTCCCTCTGCAGACCAGGCTGGCCTCGAACTCACAGAGATCCGCCTGGCTCTGCCTCCCAAGCGCTGGGATTAAAGGCGTGCGCCACCGCCGCCCGGCAATAATTAGTAAATTTAAAAGAAACTTTTTCAACTGTCACCGTGTTGGGGCATGGAGTTTGGGGTCATTTGAATGTGCTCCAGGGCAGTGATGGCTTGTATTTAGCTCCAGAATAAACTTTTATCCACTTTGAGGGGATAGTTATGCGTTATGTTGACACTAGGGGGAGCCCCAACCCAGCGTGCCTTCAGACACAGACTGGGGACCGCCCCTTGAAGATGACATCTGTAGACCCTGCAAGGGGCTGCAGGGGAACCAGCCCTGCCCCTCCTGGATCTCATCCTCCAGCCTTCAACTGGGAGACATTTTTCCAGTTGAACCCATCCAGGCTGTGGTTCTATGTAGACGGATTCTTACGTCGGGGTCATTTAAATCACCAAAATGTCTTCCGCCAAGCCTTCCTCTCTGGGTGAGTTCTGACCCATTGGCCTGGATGTAAATCCGATCACACTGACCCAGGGCCCTTCGTTCATTGTCCTGACTTTGCCTCCTGCCATCCTCATCTCTGAAGAAAAAGGAAGATTCTCAAATGGGAGAAAGCTCAGGCGTCCGGAACACACATTTGTGAGGCATTGTCTTTGGGAAGGCCCCGGGCTGTTGAAGAATCCAGAAGTACAGGAAAGCAGCAGACATGAAACCGCTGAAAAAAACCTCGAGCCTGCAGAGACCTCCGGGATGGCCCTCCACAAACAATCAGCCCTGCCTTGTGATGTCACAGCAGTACCTTAGCAACGGAGACTGAGCGTGCTCTGGACCGCTTTGCTGGAGGAGAGAAAGGGAGAGAGGCTGGCAGAGATGCCTTTGGTCTGAGGTTGCGCTGGTGGCTCCCTCCTCCCCTCTGGGTCAGGATGGAAAAGGATCCCCCCATTCACAGGAGGCACAGGCCTGGTCCTGGAGCCCTGCCTTCAGGAATAACCCCTGGATACCTCAAGGTGGCCAGTGAGGGGCCTGAACTCCAGAGGAGCAGGAGTGTGGGTGGCTTGCACCAGAAGGGGGATCCACCAGTCTGCATCAGGAAACTACTACGTAAGGAGCTAGGTGGGGGGGTGGCTCTCTCCTGGTGGGCTGGGAGGGCAGGCCAGACCCGACCCAACCTCAAGAAAGTAGAGTTTGTGGACATCTGAACATGGACAGTTTGTGCATCATGCAAGGCACATTCCCGTAAGAAGTAGCTGGCTTCTACCTCAAGAACTGCACCAGGCTATGGAAATCCTACCTTTCTCTTGACTGTTCTTTGCCAAGTACCTTTCACAGGAAGGATCAGGGCTAGAAGATTCTCCTTATAGTTAGCATCTTCTAAAACACAGGTGCATGTAGACAGGTATACTCAGGTGGGGCTGGCAGAGATCTTTATTTTATGTGTATGGGTGTTAGGCTAGCGTGTATGCCTGTGTTACTACGTACATGTAGTGCTATGAAGATCAGGAGAGGGCTTTGGATCCCCTGGAATTGGAATTAGAGTTATGAGCCCCCGTGTGAGTGCAGGGAATCAAACCCTGGACCTCTAGAAGAGCAGCCAGTGCTTTTAACAGCATTTCTCCAGCCCTTCCAGACCATTTTTAAATCCTTCTGGAAATATTTAAACCACCAGGAGGCCTTCCATGGAGCTACTCTCCTCAGGTCATTCTGACCCTTTGGCTGGGATGGGACTGAAACCTGCCTAGAATTGCCAAGGTCCAAATTGTTGTACAAAGCTATGTAACACACACACACACACACACACACACACACACACACACACACACGCACGCACGCACGCCCCCCACACAAAGCAAAAAGGCCTCTGCCTTGTGCTTCTCTGTTGGGCAGGCAGCTTCCATCCACAGATGCCCACAAGTCCGGGTCCAGCACTGTGGGCAGCAGAGGGAAAAGTGTGAGGTCTCCTGAGAAAGGGCACACACGGCACAGGCCAAGGCCAGGCGTGCTGAGCACAGGAGGGGACAGGCTCCCTTCTGGGAAGGAGGCAGCTTGAAAGCACCTAGCGTCTCTATGAAGGATAGCACGGGGGGGGGGGGGGTGGCTGGAGGGGATGGAAAGAGAGGACCGACTGGGGAGGAACTGTCTCCTGCATGGGCATCAACCAGTCTGGGAGCTGACCCCAAGGAAAGGGCTAGCCCGTTGTTAGGGAACCGTCCAGAGCAGGGCAGCCTCCAGTCCAGTCTCTGGGCTTGGCTTTTCCCACAACTCTTCTTTAACATTTTGGATTGCCCTCTGAATCCCAAAGCCACCATGGGGATCAGATAATACCAGCCATCCATGCTGAGGTCTGGCCTCCATGGCAACCCTGGGGGAGAATCCAGAATGAGGCCTCAGTGAAGTCATCTGCACATGACTCTTCCCGTGAGATGCTGTGCTGGGCTGCCAGATGCCTGGAAGGGGAGGGGAGGAAGTTACATGCAGAAGGAGTATGGCATGTCAAGGGAAAGCTCACAGGCCAACTAGTGCCTCCCAGGATCACTTGCACGATTCCCTGCAGTTACTTCCCTGAAGCTGTGGAATTCATGTCTCATGTCCACTTGTTAGGGTCTCCTCAGCCTTGAGCACATTCAAGGTACCTCTTGCCCCACGGGATAGAGGATAATTCAGATCACCTCAGTGGTGGCCCTCAGAGCTAGGAGGCATCAGTGGCCAGGATGTTCCTAAACAAGCCACCCCATCTCTAACAAGTGGCCATCTTGTGAGGGTCCCTTTTCCTTGTCTCCTGTCCTACCATTCCAGTAATCCATGCTGGGATGAGGAAGATCTGGGGACCCCTGAGTGTGTTCCAGGAGGCCCTGCATGCCCAGCCTGGGTCACAGAGGGAGAATAATAGAGCAAGGGGGTGGGCTTTTGCAACTGTGCATGAAGCAGGCTGAAAACTCTAGCCTAGGCATGGAAGGTGCTGGACTAAGGGGAAAGATGGACGTGTGTTTGGAGCATGGCCAAAGAAGTAGATGAGGAAAGGAACTCTTTTGAGCCATGGCTGTTCCCCCTCGGGCTGGCCTTGAACCTGCCCTGAGAGGAGTGCCAGGCAGGACAGTGAACCTGTGAGGTGGCAAACTGTGGGGAGGTCTAGGTGCAGGAGCCATCCTACCTTGGAATGCTCGTTTACTGACCGACCGCCCTTGCTGCTCAGACTCTGAGGATCCAAGAAATGACACTGATGACATCATCTGGTAAGTGGAAGACACGTTCTTCTGAAATGTGAGGACTGAGGTCGTGGGGAGCAGGGATGGAGCCCTCCCTCAGGGTCAGGACTTGGGAAGAGTCCTTTTAGTGGGGGTTGCTTGGGATGGTTGAGGATCCTCTTTATCTGAAGGATTCATCATGAAAACAGAACCCACCATAGTGTGTCCCCGAACTGCAGGCAGTCCTGCTCACTTCCTGGGTAGCCCTTCTGGCTGGTCCTTGTCTGGCATCATGCGGGCTTGGTGAAAGTATCTCAACAAATATCTCCATGTGCCTCTCCCAGAAAGGAAGCTCCACCTTGTCTCATGTCACCTGGGCCCCTTGAGGTGTCCTTGCTGAGCAGGGAGGGTACATAACCAGCCTCCTCACTATTGCTCAGATACAGCAGGCTGTCTGGCCCACCTAACACAGAGCCATCCCTCTGCACTGCCTTCCATGGGGCTTAAAGGTCATTGAACCCAAAGACCCTTCTCAGATCCCAACGTCTGTTCACCATGGGCCAGGCACAGGCCAGGCTGTCTGTTTACACATGATTTCCCATGAGCCCACACCAGTAGAAGGAGCTAGACCAGAAAGCATTGAGGTGGGAGGGATGCTGGTGCCTAGGATGCCACTGAAGGTGCCATTGGATGGTAGAACTAGGTACCCACATGTCACATAAGGCTGTAGCTGTTGTCTAGCCTCGGGAAAAGGACAGGCTGGAGCTCGGAAGGCCTTGGGGTGATGCAACCCAAAACACGTCAGAAGCCAGCAGCTATCTATCTGAGTCTTACCTCTGGCAACGGTGAGGATGTGCCTGTGTTCCCCGTAGTCACACTCAGCAAAGAACATGGAGTAGGGGAGCCACGAACGCAGACATGAGTGGCAGACACAGATCAGTCCACTGATCCCCACAGCCCTAAGGTCTCTACCTGGAGGGGGTCGGGCTGGTGTCTCCAGACAAGATGAGTTATTAGGTGACAGAGGAGAGCCTTTTTGCCCCCAAAGGGTCCACAGGCTTTACCCCACTCCCAGCGTTAGGGGAGGAGCCAGAAAGTCAGCAACTGATTCCTGTCGTGACACTTATTCCAAACCGCTTTTTCGACGCCTCCCCGACCCACTTATCCCCAGTCAGGTGAGCCTAGAGGAAGACAGAAGGAAAAAGAACCAGGATGAGCCCAGAAAACTGGACCCAAAGTGTGGGAAAACGGAGCCAGAGAAGAACGGCCCGGAAGCCAGCATCACAGAACAAGATGATGCCCGCAGAGGAAGAAGTACCTCAGTGGCCGAGGTCAGGCCTCGGGCAGCTCTGCACCCCCCTGCGCACCCCGGCCGCCTGCGTGGTGTCCCCTGTACTGACCTACTGGTATCTTCTTTGACTTATAGGGACAAGAGCCAGAGCCCATGAAGCTGAATAACCTTCTAGAAAAACAGGCAAGCATTTCTCCCTTTAGTCACAGGAGTTAAGATGTGCAAGTCTGTCTGTGCGCAACTCCCAGTGGGCTACGCGCACACTGTAGACTTGTAGCCCTTAAAGCCGTCTGAGCAGGTGCTGTGCTGTCCATCCAGGCTAGAAAGGGGTTCAGGGACCAAGCTCTGGACCTCTTTTCCTGACCCTGCAGCATCGTGCCCTAGCTTGCCAAACAAGGAAGTCAGTTAAGGTGTGGATCTTGAGATGATTTCCCCTTCCAATTGAACTTGACCCAGAATAATACACACACACCCCAGAGCCAGGCACACCTGACCTTGGTCACTGAGGGGCATCGGTGCAAGCCTCAGACTGAATTAGGAATTCCACGGTGCCCTTCATGAAGGAAGGTAGCTTTATCTTCCTTCCCAGACCATGTTCTAGGGAACAGTCACAGAGGGACACATATTTCACCGCACTTCACAGCAGAAGTCCTTGGCAAGATTCTGGGCCAGCCAAAGAGTCAGAGACCGAGGTGGCATACTCTGAGCTGCCGGATCATCCCGCTTTATAGAGTAGATCTCATTTCAGTGAAGCTTGGCTCTAGGCAAATGTATGGATGTGAGCCACATGCTCCCAGTAGGTCAGGGCTGGGGAGGGATCCCCAGGTCTTCACAGTGCCTTGTCACCTGAAGGCCCTACCACTTGAGGTGAGGAGGAAGAAACTCGTGGAATGTGAAGAGCTGGTTTCCCCTGAGTAGGAATGGGTCAGAAGGCCACACTCCTCTCATGCCCAGAGCTAGCCTTCTGGACACTGCTCTCTGTGCTTCAAAGGGGCTCTCTGTCATCACCAGAATCTGGTGGAACCACCCAGACCTAGATGTCTACAAGTCAGAGCCTTGCAGGTCCTTCCAAGCTCACTCACAAATTACTGCTTCCATCCATAGAAACCATCTGTGTTTGTGGAGATCGACCTGGGAGACCATATTGAAGAGGAGGTACAGCAAACCCTCCAGACCAGAGGTCTAAACTGCCCCCTGGGAGAGCACCCACACTGTGGGGGGCGGGTATAACAGATGCATGAAGGGTGAGGCAGAGACCCAAGGCCAGAAGTTCCCGGGACTCTCCATGGTGCTAGTGCTGAGGACCGACTGTGGGTGTAGAAGGAAAACACCTGTGTCTCCTCTCTCTCTGCTTTAGCACAAACCTGGGTCCTTGGGCGCCCAGAGCTGCTGAGGGAGCCTCAGAAGGAGGCTGAGAGAATGGGAGACCGATGGCTTTCTCAGTAACAGCTCAAAACACTCATGACCTCTTGTGCTTGAGTTGCCCACCGTGGAACCATATACCCACATCTCCAGGTTGTTTCCTGAAGCTCTCACAGCAGTGGCCTGGGAATTAGGTATCACCATTATCTCATCACTGCTGTCATCACCGTCTCCAACAGTACCACCACCATCCTCACCACTGGTCTCACCGCCATCATTACCGTCAACATTATCACTGCCGTAGCAACCGTTGCTGTCATTGTTACCACTATCTCCATCATATTTCCACCCTTGATATCATTGTCACCATCACCATCATTGTCGTATCACCACCACCACCACCGCCACCATCACCAATATCACTGCCATCATCATCAATATCACCACCACATAGTCACCATCATTGTCATCACCGTCAACATTATCATTACATCACCAATATCATTATCCATAAAATGATGAGACTTTCTCAGTGGCTCATCAACAGAATTATTTGGGGTCTTCCTCCAATCCTCTGCTGTAATGAGCAGATGTCTTTCTGGATGATTCCTGAAGTTCTCAGTTGACGAGTTTAAGGAGCACCTGAGGGTTGGTTCCTTTCCAGATTACACCTGTTACACCTTCAGCTTCCGAATCACACTATATATGGTAAAAAGACTGGTCACTAAGTCTCTATGAGGCTGCTCATGGGGCCCCGAGTTCTAAAGACTCCAGAAAGGTCAGCCAATAGCAGAAGTAGACCGAGAGGCCAGTTCTCTCCATCTGTAGCCCAGGAGCCATAGAGGCTCACACGGGGAGCCATGGAGGCTCTCACGAGGACCCAGAGTCCCTTGTTGGGCATTCCCACTCGACAGAGTACTGTCTGGAAGGAGGACATTCAGGGCCACAGTAAACTGCCTTTCTCTGTCCCTATCTGACCTTGGGTGGGTACCATAGGTTGTTGTACCCCCTCCCACAGGTGGTGACCTGTGCCGTGAGAGAAGAGAAGAGGCTTCCAATGGACACAGGGGACTTGTCAGAGGATGAGTGAGTATTGCTCAGGGGATAACTTGGATGGGGGTGCTTATCAGAGTGACATTCCCACCACAAACTCCTACGGTGGCGGCACTGTGCCTTCCTGCCTTTCCTCCATCCCCTGAGCCATGCATAAGCCAAGTGATTATGGGGACCAGACGGGCCAAGGAACAAGCAACAATATGGTAAACACTCTCAGAGCCTGGGAACAAATTTACCAGGAGCCACATCTCACTCCACCACCAAACCACGTCTCCTCAGCCAGCAAAGTGGCAAGAAGCAGAAGGTGTCAGCGTCCCCCATTGGGAAGACCCTGCACACATGGATGCCATCAGGGAGAGAGCCTCTCGGAGCTGGGCTTAGGCCTACAGGGTTTTGCATACTGGTACTAGGACTCATGCCTCTGAGGGGACCAGCAAAATTTTGAGACTTCCTGAAGTTCAGAGGCATCAGCCACAAAGGATGTTGGGATCCAGGCAGATACTTGCCTCTGGCTCACGGATCTATTTTACTTCATTTCTGACAATACAGAGAAATACAAAGAACAATAGCAGTTACTCAAATCCCCACCCCCTCAGAATTAGTGTCTTTGTTAGTATTTTGGCTTATTTATTCAGGTTTTCAAGATAAAATTTCTCTTTTGGATTTGTAAAACTGGCATGTGGTCTTCAAGGAACAGACACTGTGGAACAGCAGAGAAAAGGAGTTTAAGAATCACCCCTAACCCTACCTTATAGACCCAGGACACTGCTAGGCTGCATGATCCTTGACGTCATACTCAGACATAAGCTGGGTTTGTGCAGGGTGGTGGGTACCCCTTAGCCCTCTGCTCGGTGGGCAGTTGGGAATTATTGTTATGGTGATTGCCATCTTTGCTTCAAGCTTCTGTCTTGGGGGAAGGAATTCAGTGATTTTGTTCATTTACACTGCGAAGTTTCCCTGACTGACCTCCACATTACCAGGCCATGACAGGTGACCATATCAAGCTTTACCAAGATATCAGGACACTCTTTTCACACTCCCTGGTCCAGACCTGATAGATGCAAGTCTTCTCCAAGTGATTCCTTTTCTCTCTGGTTCTTGGATGAATTTAACCAGAGGCAAAAGGCTGATTGGCTTTACACTTTATCTTGAGAGATAGTTAAATCTGTTGTCTGCATCTGGGTTCTAATCCCTAATACTCACTACCCTAGGTAGAGTAGGTGCCAGAGTAGCCCTGAGAGCTGGCAGTTACCTGGTAGGGATGAGGGTCCTACATGTAACCTGATTAAGACAGGTGCCAGGACACCCATCTGTGCCTCTCGCCTTGTTGATTTCCAATTTTATGCCCAGGACCCCTCAGTGAGGTAGGCCAACCATGCACCCACAGCCCCATTGCTGCCTGCTTGGGCAGCTTTGATCATGAGTTGGGTGATTGCCTTCACAGGATAGTGGGAACCACTGCCTCCTATGGGCGGAAAATAAATGGAGGTTACCTTTCTCCACCTCCAGGCTTTGCTGCCTGGAGGTTATGACTAGGTTCAGTTGGTCTCTTGTATTTAAAGAGTCCCTCTAGCCAGAAAATAAGAGACTTGGGTACCTGAAGGACAAAAATAAGCAACTAGCTTTGGAATCTGGTTTGGAAGAGAGTTGAGCTGGCTTGGGGGAAAGCCTTGCTTCCCTGGGTCTTTGTGGAGTGAGAGCAGTGAGGTTTGAGAGTGTGGAGTGGGGGCTGCCGTCCATGGGGCTGGTGTGTTACAGGGCAGGGAGGGCATTCCTATTCCCATGTTCTTGGCGTCCAGGACAAGGACCAGCTGGGTATGCTGCATCCCATATTCCACAAAGAAGAAGGTGAAGGAAGCTACCAGTGCTTTGGAGAAGGTATTCAAAACCTGGAGGGCAGGGAAGGGTGGGACTCTGAATGGCTAGGGGCACGGGGGTGGTATGCCCACTCCAGAGCCCCTCTGGCCAGATCCCTGGGGGTTCCATTTCCATCTCGCAAGGCCAGCCATGGCTGGGAGAAAGGACAGTGATGCTGTAATGTAGAGACCCCTAATCCGCTGTAGCCCAAGAATACTCAGGGGCATGGACCACCCAGGTGTGTACCCTGGCCTCCAGAGACATGATGATGTGATGTTTGTAGATCATGTTCTTCCTCCGTGGGATGTGGACACAGGCAGGACGGTGGCTAAGTCCTCCATAGGCACCTGTCAGTAATGGTGGGTGATGCTGATAGTCCTACCCTGAAGATCTTGGAAACATCTAGAAGTAGCTATGGGCCCAAATCCATGATGTAACATGGTGCTCAGGGGAAGGCATTGTGGGTGCCAAGGTCCCTGCAGGGTAAGGTCAGGGATGCCCAGCAGCCTGAGTCACCTCTGTGCTTGTTGCTGGGCACAGGCCCTGGTAAAAATTGGGGAACAAGAGCCCCAGTATTACCATATAATCCACATCATGGGAACTCCTATCTTTAGGTCTGATCATGGCCATGCACTGCCACCCACTAGGTGTAGGAACTCAATATCCCCAGCTTTGTTATCACCAGACATACAAGTTAAATGTGCAAGGATAACAGGGCTGCAGAGATATTGTTTAATGCCTGAGGAGGCCTTCTGGAACAAACCCCAAGCCCAGGCAAGTTGGGTCAGGGGCTATCACCTTCCCAGTCCAGCCGGCTGTCTTCCCAGCCTGATGCTAGAGCCAGCTTCTTTCTTGGAGGTCACCACAGTCGTGGTCCCAAGTGATAGATGCCAGGATGCCAGGACCTCAGGAATATCTAGGCATCTTGACCTAAAGACAGGGAGCCTGAGCTCCTTGGGGAGAATGCTCAGAGCTGATTCACAGGGTCCAGAAGGGGAACCAGGACAGCCAGGCGAGAGCAGAAGGCTGATAATGCATGCACACTTCCTACCTTGCTTAGCCAGTTGAATGAGAGATAGACATGCTTGACATTCACATAGGTATGTTCATATGTACATAGGACACACATGTACACACCCATACACATGTGAGTGTGCGGGGCTATGCGCCTCAGCTCCTCATACACATACCACACACACATGCCCACCCTTGTACAGTCACATGTATAATGCACAGTGCACACATTCACATTTACATACCTCATATGCATTCCCTTACATAGTACATAGTACGTTTGCACATTTACATACCTCGAACACACATTTCCTTACATAGATAACTGAAACTGTGACCTCTCAGGGTGAGAGTCTTGAGGAATTTACTTTGCAGGGAGGCCCTTGTCCAGGTAGAGAGGGGAGGAAGGCCCACCCATCAGTTTCTACCCAGACCCCTGACTGCAAGGGCAAGCCTTTCCCATATTATTACTCATGGGACACAAACGGGCCCAGATGGTCCTCTGAGTGGGTCTACACAGTAAAGCGAGGCAACCCCTTGGGCCCACTATGTAGTTTTGAACCTGTCCCATCCACCAGCTGCCACCAGAAAGGTACTCTAGAGACACACTTCAGAACAGACAGCTGCTGGCACCTTTGCCAGGGTGGAAGAAGAGGCCTTGGCCATGGCTCCTGCTCTCTTGCCACAGAGCAGGCATCAGTGTGAGTCTGTCTACCTGTCCGTCCTTTGTCACCATGTCTGGATGGCAGTTTCGTGTTGGCCAAGGCCAGGCCTCTGGATACAACCTTAGCTTAAGTCTCGATGATGTTGTTCCTTCTGTGTGTCTTTGTCGAGGGTCACGGCATCTGCCAGGTCCAAGGGTGGATATCATATTTGGAAATCATATTACGAAGGGCTCAAGGCATATTTTGAACCTTGGTTCTGAGCATTCCTGCGCGCCTGAGACCTGGCTCTCACTTTCCTGCCTATGCATCCATCTATCTGTGGATTCTGAGCCCTGTGGCTTCTTAGCATCATTTGCCCCATCAGAGAAGAGAGGTCCTGGCAGGGGGAGAAGAGGGTGGTCACCCTGTGCTGAAGGCTCAGCCTCAGGGCGGGAGCTCAGCTATACTTGGGCAGCAGCTGGCAGCAGCCAGTTTCACTGGGAGGGTGAGAAAGGCCTGGAACTTGAGGAACAAGAGGTTTCTGCACTCTGCCCACATGTCCACGGCTGGTAAAGATGCGGAACCACTCATCCGCGTGAGCGCGGGGTCTTTCTTGCCGCTGCTTCTGGTGGCCAGAGGCCGTTGAAGAACACCTACTGTTTCCATCCAGCACAGCCACTGGCTCCTCGGATCCAAGTGAGGCTGGGATTCAGGGAGGATTGACAGCCTGGCTTCTGGGGTCCCAACTCCCATCGCCTGGTGCTCACCAGGAGCCCTTGTGACTCAGACCCCGAGAATCCCATCCCCCTCCGGCTGCATCTTCCCAACCAGGTACTGACGCAGGCTTGGCTTTGTTAGAACCACCAGTGGTCTCAGGACAGGACCTATCTGACTCAGCCACTAGTAGATCTCTCTGGGGACTAAGGGAAGACAGCCCAGGCCTGGAACAGCTTCGTGATCCCCCCTTCCATGGGCAGGGCCAGAGTGACAGCAGCCAACGGAGACCCACAGCAGGGACCCTCCTCCAATCCAAGGCCAATCACAGGTAAGGTCGAAAATGGCAGTGAACTCCTGACCTTCTGGTAGAGGGGTCACTGCAGAGGGAGGGCGCATGGACCTCGTCTCAGGTCAGGGGTAGAATGTTACAAGTTGGGGTCCCATTGCCCCTGAGTTTATAAAACACTGAGTTTTCAGTGTATAATGAGCATGGTCACTGAACTGTTTTAAGGTGCCAGTCAGTACCTGAGACAAGGGATGCCCATGGACCAAGGCCCCCATGGGCCCTTCCTGTAGCTGGATAGACAATAACTCTTGATCCTTCTTATTTTAGCCACAAAGGGTTTCATAAAAATTAGTCTTTGGGTAAATATTAGTCAAGCTACTGAAGACATGAGGGCAGGATTCGTATGGAGGTGGGTGGTAGGTCGAGGGTGTTGGGGGAAGGGTGCCCTGTTAGCTGTGTGGGCTTGTGATTATCAGTCTCTCCCATCACCTCTGCAGAGCGGGCTTCTGCAGCCCGCCAACCTCCCAGCAGTTCCTGCTCTGTCTTCCCCAGGCTTTAGTGCAAACACGAGGACTAGGACTTTAGCCTGCCTGATGGCGCCCCCTGGCGACCCGGGTTCTCCAGTCCTCTTCGCTTGCTTTCAGTCCTAGGCACCAACTATGCAGGACGCAGGGGCATGCCACCCCACCGGCGTCACAGGGTGTAAGCTCCAGCTAATCGCTCACTAAAGGAAAACAACACCGTGTGACCGCCTCGCTGGAGTTACGATGTCATACGTAGGCAACCCCCAGGCCGCAGCTGGAGAGGAGAAAGGCCAAAGTCACCTCTGAACTGTCCCCTCCCTACACCCATACATACCCTTGCTCCCCCAAGCCTTGGGCCACAGCCTTCCTTAGTAGCTCTACCTGGAAGCCTGGTTCTCTAAGGATGCTTGGGGATGTGAACTCCCCCAATCACGTTCCCATGTGACTCCCCCCACACACACACAAAAAAAAAAAGCAAAACAATTCCTCAAACATGTACCTCTGAAGCCCTGAGTGCCTGGACTCATCAAGGACATGGTGGACATGGTGAGTTCATGGAAGACAGAGGGTAGCAGAAGCTTGATCCCCTAATGGGCTTCTGGTGTTGTCACGGTCACTAGGAGGCATGGGGGCAGGGTGGGAGGGTCCACCGCCGCCTCCGTCCCAGAGCAAGAAGACCCTATCAGACTCATAATTGACAGCAGCCCGGCATATGTGCAGACCACAGAACCCAAGCTGGGATGGAGAGGACAAGAAGTGATGATTCTAGGGTGATCTGTGGAGTTGGGGCTTCGATTTGAAAGGTTCGAAAGAGTCCTCGGGCCACTGATGCGCATGGTCCTTGCATGCGGGAAGAAGTTGGTTAGAAAGAAGAGTTACTGGTGCGTGTACAGACAGAGACAACAGCATAGGCCGGTGTTCTGGGAGGAGTTGGTCAGGTAGGCATGCCAGAGGCTCTGATAAGCACCCAAGCCCATGAGGCAGAGGGGGGGTGGGTCCCCTCTGACAGGTATCAGGGGAATGGCGAGGTTCCCTGTAGTCAGGCCCTCTCTTCTTCCCTAGCGAGAGGCTGGGGCAGTGGAGAGTGCAACTTTAAGGATGTAAGGAGGTGTGGTCCATGTGGTGTCCTGGAGTCTAACAACCTATGAGCTTCCTTGGGGCAGTAAGGCTGGCACCTGTCATTCTCCTGGGGTCAGGACACCTGGAGAGTTTGTTAGGGGGTTAGAGATTGGCAGGTTCTGAGTGGAGAGCCTGCAAGTGAGCCCCAGTGTGGTCTGAATTCTGCCGATATTCTTGGCATCTTCCCTGTGTAAGCTTAGCTTTGGGGGCACATTTTCAGAGCTCATGCAGTGTGAACACAGCTGAAAAAAGTGACCTGTGGTTTCCAGACCCTCCCAGGGGTGGACAAACGCTCTTCAAGGGGGAGGGAGGCTGGAGGCTGTCTCGGTGGAGGAACCCCTGGTTTCAGCCATCTTGTTTGGTTCTGACACAGCTTAAGGCATCTTAAGGGATGACCCTTGCTTTACAGAGGGGGGAACTGAGGTACAGGGAGCAGGCAGGAAGCTGAGGCAGAGCCCAGAGACTGAGCAGCACTGAGGTGGAGCCCACATCCTCATGGGCTATCCCATAAGCTTGCTCCACCCCTTCTCCCAAGCTGGTGACCTCTCACTTCAGCTCTGGTCCCGCTCATCACACATCCAGCCCTGTGGAAGGACCTAACCCTACTCTCAGTGCCCATGATGAGGAAGACTTCATTCTCCAAGAGCCTGTTTGCCACATTCAAGGACCCTTGTCTCCCAAAAAGCCCTATCCCACCCAAATAGTACCCGCTTCTGATCCAAGACCTCTGTTTCCCAAGGAGTTCCCATATACTCCACCATTTCATTTTCTAGGAGTGGCAGTCATGGCCATAAGATTCTTATCTGTGGCCTCAACTAGACTGGGGCTAAAGAGTTCCGGCTCAGTGTAGCCCCAGGGCTGTATAGAGTGAATAAGAAGGTATAAGCCGCTGGGTGAGTACCAGGTGCTCAAGGCTGAAGTCAACTCCCCCATCCCAAGACAGTTTCTTGTCCTTGGTCAGTCCTGTGTACTCGGCCTCCCACTGTCCAGTTTCCCACCCCACCCCTGGCATCTAGGCAGTTTAGGAGCAGTTCCCTGCAGTCCTGCATCTGTCACTGAGAGAGAGGAGCCTCAGGAATTGGCACCACAGGGAAAGTCCCCAGTCAGCTGCTCTGCAGAACCAGGTTGTGGGGCAGGCCCAGACATGTGGAGACATGCCTGCAGCCTTCCCTGAGCTTCCAAGCCTGCCTAACCCACCTCCCACTCAGGTCCTCTGAGGACTGGCTGGCAAGGAACCCAGTGACATCCTCCTGAGTTCGCTGCCAAGTTTCCTGCCTGAGGTGGGAACAGCCGCAGATTCCAGGAACCAGCGGGGGAATCTGGCATGATAGGTAGACCGGGAAAGAACAGAGCCCCAGGATTCACGCTCTGCGGGGCTGAGGGGCATGACCTTTGAGGCTCTCCCGTCAGCCTGACTCAGCATCTGCTTGGCATGGCTCAAGGTTTCCCAAGTAATTGGGAGAGAGTCATTTCCATTCCAGATGTGTAGGGGTGTCTCTCATAGCTGGTTTTGTAAACTGCAACACCCCCAGCCTGCAGCTCAGACACCTCATGACTTCAGAACCAGACTGGGGAACACCTTGGTTCAGTGTCTCCAGCCAAGTATACCATTAATGTCATAGGCCCAACATCCATTGACATGCTGGACACAAGGAGCAGGACGATGTCAGGGATGTCACTCCATGCACGGCCTCGAGGCTCAGGAGGTACTAAGGTCCTTCCCTGGGCCACTGTCTCCTGCTGGCTGAAGAGCATGCACCGAGCATGCGTGGAGCCCGGCAGCTGAGACTCTAGGTGGCGCTGTCCTCCAGGGCGGAAAGGGGTTCCTACAGACTCACCACCTGTCATGAGTGTGCTACATCAGGAACACAGTGAACGGTCTCAGTTTGGGGATTCGAGGGGGACACTGGCATAGAATGTTCTGTTGGGCAAGAGGTTTACTAGAATTAACACCATGGACATGGGCAAGAGGGGCTCTAAGGAACGTTCAGGCTCCAATTACCGTGGATAGGCAGCACGGCGGGGACTCTGAGGAGACGCATCGTGGCAGGGGTTCCTTCTAAGTGTTCTAGGAAATGGGGGAAGACTTCTACAAGCCTAAAGCTAGGTTGTCCCTGACTCTTGAGTGGCAGGGGAAAATAGGTTAAGGATGTGTGGGGTACAGGGAACTTTCAGGGGTCCTGAGAAGTCTGAAAACTCATAAGCTTCCTTGGAAAGTAAAAATGGTGCTGACCATCTCTGGAATCTGGACACCTGAGGAGTGTGCATACAAATCACTGACAGGCCCTTGGGTGTCGGTCTCTCCCTGTAGCAGTGGGAATCCCAGGGTCAACTATGAGGCTGGAGAGAGCGCCACAGATGGGCATAGCTGAGAAGCGTCTGGTCTGGGATTCGAACACACTGATAGACATGTTTGTGTCCACACTGTCAGATTTCATTGAGTAACAAGTCACAAACTACTTGTTTTGTTGGTTACAGTTTGGCAAGTAATCCAGTTTTCCTTTAATAGCTAACCATTGGCAAAACAAGTGAGTCTATTCCAACCTAGTTTTATATGCAAAGTATATGTCTGTGTATGGGTTTGTGCATGTGAATGCCGATGCCCTCAAGGTTGGTGTTGGGTCCCCAGCCCCCCTGCCCCACCCCTGCACCCCGCTCTCCCACCCCTCTACCCCCCAACCCTGGGAGTTACCAGCTCTTGAGACTCATCCGACATGACTGCCGGCCACGAACTCAGCTCCTCTGCAAGGATCCTCTGTGTGTGTTCCTAATGGCTGAGCCCTTATTCCAAATATTCTCAAATTACACATTTCCACATCACACAGTGACCATCTATAATGTATATGTGTAGATCACAGGAAGTCTCCAAAGGGTTAAAGAATTCAAGCAGTTCAAAGAGACCTCACTGAGAGGCAGCACCCCCAGTGGTTCTCAACCTTCCTAATGCTGCGACCCTTTAATACAGTTCCTCGTGGTGACCCTCAACCATAAAATTATTTCCTGACGACTTAACTGTAATTTTGCCAGTGTTATGAATCGTAATGTAGATATCTGGTATGTGACCCCTGTGAAAGGATCATTGGACCCCGGCAGGGGCCTCGAGCCACAGATACACAGAGTCCCTGCAGGAGTTTGATGCCAAACCCTGTGGAGGTCTGACTGTTGGAGGCACTGCATGGAGACAAGCTTCTGGGCAGAGTTCCGCTGTCTGACCAGGTGTGGGACCAGACGCTATTGAGACAAAGTATAGAACTGGCTCCTGATGATTGAATAGACAGGCAATTTGAGTACTCCGTATCACCTGTGCGCACACCAAGCCGAGATGAAGCTCCTGAGTCTGCCAGGCGCTCTTGGCCTCTCAGTCCTCCTCCAGGATGCTCAGGTGACAAGGAGGTGACCATCTCACTGCCCCATTGCTGACTAAGGTATCCTCTATAGGTCTAGGTAAAGACGTTGAATTGATTTTAACACACTCTGTACACCTACAATGCCAATTTGAGTTTATAGGGTGGCATCTTTACTTAGGAATAAATATCAGACTATGCCTCATGGAGGTATGGGACATGTGCTTTTAAATGCCAAACAAGGTACAGGACACCCCAACTCTGCATTTGGACTGAAAATGGAGCCTCACGGTGTGCTGCCTAGTTTTGTATCAACTTGACACAAACGAGAGTCCCTGGAAAGGAGGGAACCTCAATTGAGAAAATGCCACCATAAGATCGGCTTGTAAGGCATTTTCTTAATTAGTGATTGATGGTGGGGGGGGGGGCCCAGTCCATTGTGGGTGGGACTATCCCTAAGCTGGTGGTCCTGGGTTCTATAAGAGAGCAGCCTGAGCAAGCCATGAGAAGCAAGCCATGAGGAGCAAGCCATGAGGAGCTAAGCCATGAGGAGCTAAGCCATGAGGAGCAAGCCATGAGGAGCTAAGCCATGAGGAGCAAGCCATGAGGAGCAAGCCGGTAAGCAGCACTCCTCCATGGCCTCTGCATCAGCTCCTGCCTCCAGGTTCCTGCCCTGCTTGACTTCCTGTAGTGGTGGACTACAATGTGGAAGCGTAAGCCAAATTAACCCTTTCCTTCCCAACTTGTTTTTGGTCGTGGTGTTTCATCATAGCAATAATAACCCTAAGACAAATTGGTAGCAGGGAAGTGGGGTATTGCTGTGACAGACCTGGCCATGTTTTGGGGAGGATTATGGAATCCTTTGGAACTTTTGACTCGAAACGCCATAGAGCGTTGAGAGCTCAGTGGCTGTTCTGTAGGAGCTGAAAAGATAATGTTGAGAGCAGTGAAGACTATAGTTTCAGAGGAAGGAGAAACTCTACCGGGACTTTTGAGTTAAGAATCTGGGGTTCTGGTCAGCTGGGACTGAAGAATCAGCTGTGATTAACAAGAGACCGGAACCACTGAAGTAAAACCCATGCTTTACCGGGACAATTGATGCTGGTCAGCTGGAGCTGAGTAATTATTGGTGATAAAGAAGAGACCAATGGCCAGGCGGTGGTGGCACACATCTTTAATCCTGGCACTCGGGAGGCAGAGCCAGGTAGATCTCTGTGAGTTCGAGGCCAGCCTGGGCTACAGAGTGAGTTCCAGGAAAGGCGCAAAGCTACACAGAGAAACCCTGTCTCAAAAAACAAAAAACAAAAAAAAAGAGAGACCAGCGTCATTGAGGTAAAATCTGTGAAGTGTTTCTTCAGAGGCAGCCAAGGTTGTACCTTGTGCTGGCAGCCAAACTTGATAGTGTAAGAGTCTCCCAGGTGGTGCTGGTTTTGAAGGCCTGAGGGGGTCATGAAAAGCAGCTGAGGCTTGGCTCTGTGAAAGGATAGGCCATTGGAGAAGGTGCAGCCTCCATAGCAGTTGAAGCCCCAGGATTGAAGGATCACAGAGAGACCTAGGAGAGGCTATTGGGCTGGGTGGTGCTGGTGCACGCCTTTAATTCCAGCACTCAGAAGGCAGAGGCAGGCGGATCTCTGTGAATTCGAGGCCAGCCTGGTCTACAGAGCGAGTTCCAGGACAGGCACCAAAACTACAGAGAAACCTGTCTCGAAAAACCGAGGCGGGGGTGGGGGCTATTGGTGAAAGTGCAGGCCAGTTGCAGCAGAGGACACCAGCATTTTGGAGAGGCCAGTACCATGGAATGACCACCAAGAACAGAATCCATAGAGTGGAGCCAGCTGGAGCCTATGAGACAAGCTGTGTGTGCTGCAGAGGGCGGAGCCAGAGAAGTGACCCAAGCCCCTTGGAGGAGTCCAGAAGATGGTGAGTGAACCCCTGATAATTGGACATTGACTTTTTACACTTCTGGAGTTTTGTTTGTTTGTGACTGTGCCCTGGTTCTTCTCTCTTGATCTTTTGAATGATGAACTTGCCTCAGAACCTCCTTCATTGTGCCCCCAAAGTTTGGGTACATTGTGTGTTCATTTCCACTCAATTCTAGTAAATCTTTAATTTCTTTGTCTTGAACCGTTTTTCATTCAGTAGAGAGTTGTTCATTTTCCATGAGTTTGTAAACTTTCTGTTTCTGTTGTTACTATCCAACTTTAATCCGTGGTGGTCTGATAGGATGCAGGGTCTTATTTTAATTTTCTTTTATCTATTGAGACTTGCTTTGTGTGTGAGTATGTGGTCAGTTTTGGAAAAGGTTCCATGAGGTGCTAGAAGAGGGTATAATCTTTGTTGGGGTGAAATTTTTTAAGATAATTATTAGATCTGTTTGGTTTATAACATCTGTTAGCTCCAGTATATCTCTGTTGTAGAATATTATTTTAAGGTGTGTTACATTTGTTTATGCTGTGGAACATTTTTTAATGATGCAAAGATGTGCTGCATTCTTTTATATTGCATTTAACTCTGAAGCTGTGTTACTTTGCCTTTCTGAAACACCTGATGGTCTAATAAAGAGCTGAATGGCCAATAGCAAGGCAGGAGAAAGGATGGGAGGGGCTGGCAGGCAGGGAGAATAAATAGGAGAAATCTGGGAGGGAAAGAAGGAGCAAGAGAACAAGGAGGGGAGAACACTAGGGGCCAGCCACACAGCCGACCATGGAGTAAGAATGAAAGTAAGACATACAGCAGTAAGAAAAGGGAAAAGCCCAGAGGCAAAAGGTAGACAGGATAATTTAAGGAGAGCTGGCTAGCAATAAGCCAAGCCAAGGCCAGGCATTTATAAGTAATAATGAGCCTCCATGTGCGTGATTTATTTGGAAGCTGGGTGGCAGGGCCCCCAAAGAATAATAAGAGTAAAAAACATTTCTCTGTTTAGTTGTTGTCTGAATGACTTGTATATTGGTGAGAGTGGAGTATTGAAGTCTCCCACCATCAGTGTGTGAGGGTCAATACATGATCTAAGCTGTAGTAGTGTTTCTTGTGTTTGGGGCATAGATGATAAGAACTGAAGTGTCCTCTTGATGGATTTTTTTCCCTTTGAGTACATAATGCCCTTCCCTGTAATTCGAATCTTAAAAGGTCTTATAATAAAAACCTGGAACCAGATATTGGGGTAAATGCTGAAAGATCAGAGAGAAAAGGAACAAGCCACCACCATGTCTTATCTCTAGAACTCCTCAGCCTGAAAAAACTTCAGTTCCTGTCTCCTCATGCCTTCTATACCTTTCTCCACCCAGCTATCACTTCCTTCCTAGTGCTGGGATTAATGGTGTGTGTGCTTCCCAAACACTTGGATTAAAAGTGCCACCTGCCTTGCTCTGTTTCTCTCCTAGACTGAGTCAATCTCATGAAGTCCAGGGTGGCTTTGAACTCACAGCGATCCAGACAGATCTCTGCCTTCCGAGTGCTAGGATTAAAGGTGTGTGTCACCACTGCCTGGCCTCTATGTTTGATCTAGTGGCTTGTTCTGTCCTCTGACCTTCAGGCAAATTTTATTAAGCTATACAATATATCACCACACTTCCCTATGTCTTCTGATTAGTTTTGATTTGAAGTCTATTTTGTTGGATATTAAAATGACTATACCAGCTTGTTTCTTGGGTCCATTTGCTTGGAATATCTTTTTCCAACCCTTTTCCCTGAGGTAATGTCTCTCCTTGATATTCAGGTGTGTTTTTTGGATGCAGCAGAAAGATAGATCCTGTTTTCCCATACATTCTGTTAGTCTGTGTCTTTTTATTGGGGAATTGAGACCATTGCTCATAAGAGATGTTAATGACCAAATGATTGTTGCTTACTATTTTGTTTGTTGTTGGTGGTGGTGGTGGTTGTTGTTGGTGGTGGTGGTGTTGGTGGTGGTGTGTGTATATTTCCTTCCTTTTGACTTTGCTGGTCTGGAATTATTTATTCCCTGTGTTTTCTTGAGTTTGGTTAACCCCTTTAGGTTGGAATTTTCCTTCTAGCACCTTCTGTAGGGCTGGATTTGTGTATAGATAGTGTTTAAATTTGACTTTCTCATGGAATATCTTGTTTTCTCCATCTGTGGTTATTGAACATTTTTCTGGGTATAATAGTCTGTGCTGGCATCTGTGGTCTCCTAGAGTCTGAAGTACATCTGTCCAGGCCCTTCTTGCTTTTAGGGTCTCCATTGAGAAGTCAGGTATAATTCTGATAGGTCTGCCTTTGTATGTTACTTGGTCATTTTTCCTTGCAGATTTTAATAT